CATATCTCTTTACTAATGAATACTAGATATTTCAACGTTGGATAAGATTAACAAAAATTTGCTTTTATTGATGAAAAGTTCAAAGAAATCTTGTCTCTAAGCAGTGGACTTGCATATGACGCAGAACAGGCGGTACTGGCGTTCTCTTGTATCGGAGACCACACCTACTTTGGGACACTGCGCCAGCGGAGTAAGTCTTATGGAAACGGATAGTTATACGAGACGCTAAGATACATAGCTTGTCCAACCTCAAATTAACAACTTATCTTCTAATTAATTATTACGAGATCATTAAAGCTGCATAGGCTCAGTTATAACTATCTGTCTGATTATGATTTGTTAGAATTACGTCACACAAAGATCAGGAACATCCGTAAACAACTTATCTCAAAGTTGTTTGTTTACAGTAGCGATGTTTTTTTATTTGCTGTTTTATACGCTTTAGTAGCTAAAAAAAAATTATATAACGCAGTCAACTCTATAAATATGATGTCATAGAGACTCTTTATGAATGTTATAGAGGTTCTGGTTAGGTTATTGTCCAAGTTCCCGACTAAAATCGCTTTCAAAAACTTATATCGAACGACTAAGACGAAACGATGAAGGGGGGATTCCAAAATCTTCAATACTCTATTAAATTAAAAACACAATTAGATGGCGATAATTATTTCTGCTTGTCATTGTTAGCAGGCGAGTAGATTATGTTATTTTAAACATGTGACCGAAAACTTTGATCGAATCAAAAAATACATTTATCATTATTATTTATCTAAATATATCGGTTTACTGCTTTTTAGAATAACGGTCATATTTATATGTTTATTTTCCGAAAAACGACTACCGATCAACATAAAAGATAAAATTATTAGCTAAATACAGTGAAAATTAACTAAAGTATAATTTAAATAATTTTAATTTTGATTATTCGTTGCATGCGTTACTAAGCAATGATTTCCACAACGATTTATACAAAAAGGTAAACAAAATGAAAAAAAAATCACTTCTAAAACTGGTTTTCAAGTTCACGTACAGCTACACAAATAAATTGAAATAAACGACTTGTTTTCTCATGAGAAAACATATTATTCTTGTCATACAAAATCATAAAGTCTGATACTTTTCACTAGTAATTATTAGAAAACAAGATGCTCAATTGACTTTACTCTTATAGGTACATATGAAAAAAATACCCGCGAAAATCCTCACCATTTGGCCACTCGGGACAAAATGATGCTATCTGCTCGAGATTAATGTAATTATGTTTTTATTGTTACGAAGGTCATTGTAACCGTGAGTTTTCACTGACAAAACTCTCATTCAAAAAGATATTGTTGTCTCTCAAATTCGTTCTGAAATAATATAGACGTTACTATTTTGTGCAGGTGTCAGGCAGTGGAAATCAACGTTTATGCCATTCGAAGCCGTTCATATTACTTTGTTCTTGTTTACTATTACTCGGAGTCTGTTTTCTTTGTATAATAACGTAAAAATACTTGGAATGGTAAAAATTATGTTTTGTGAGTACTAAAATAAAAAAATATAAAATTGTCGTTTTCTCAAGCAGATAATTTATGTTCTTATAATATTATCAAGTAATTTTAGTTTGTGAGAAAACAATTCATATACTAGCCCGTAATCACATAAGAATTTAACTAGGTAACTATTCTACGATTAACATCTTAACTTGTTTGTTTTTGCATCGGTTTATTTATCTAGTTAATGTGCTGTGTATAGATGTATTCTCAAAGAGCACTTACCTAGTATTTGCAGAAAGCTGTCCTCCAACCTCATCGTGGAGGAGAGGAGGTAATCCGTCCCCTCCAGTTCACTAGGCGTCAACAAATCGCTCCTCATTTTCACTCTTATTCCTAACCAGTTCGAGTTCAAATTTAAATGACAATTTCGATACAAACGAATCTACGAATCATTTTAATACACTCCTAACACTGATTTAACTCGTTTTTTATTTTAAACATAAATCTAACACACACTTCTAGATCACAGATGGAAAACCTTTACATTTCCCGTTCTTGTTTAGTTAGTTTTTTTAATCGTTTTTTTTAAAGTCAAATGAAGTCGTGATTGTACGCAGAACGTAGGAAACGTCGTAAACAAGTCATCGAGGCCGGTAACGAGTTCCCGCGTGGAACGTAGTAATTAGTGAAAACAGCGCGGTGTAGTACGGTAGGTTGGCGCTAGATGACTCGCGGTCCGCGCAGATACGACAGCGCGCGCGCAGGGCTGTCGCGCGTGTACTCAGCCAACGACCGAGGGCACAGCTGAGCCGCGCTCACTATAAATAATTATGGAATTAAATATGCAGTTTAACTGACAGTGTGCCTCATTTTACACTCGTAGCTAACCATCTTTATTATGAACGCAATGATAGACTTATACCTAATTAATAAGGTGAAAAATGTGCCTTAACAGAGTAGCGCTTGAGATCAGACTTATGAATTGTTTTGTTTTGAGCTTTTTTATGTAATATTAAAATTTTATTAAGTGTGTTATTAACTTTTTATTAATAAGATATCATTGAAACATTGGTATTTATTATAGAAAGTTAATTAAATAAATAAATACGTAGATACATGGTGTAATTTATAAAGTTTTATGAGATAAGATAGAACGGGTATTAAAATTGATAGTTTGACCGTTGATATTTAATACTTAGATAAACATTTCTATATTAATCTTATCTAAAAATATTATCCTTAATATAAATTCAATACGGCGACAACGTAACCCCCTAATGATTGATAACAAACCGATTTCGAAGGCTGTTTGTGAAGATTAACTTCTATGAATTAGGAAAAAGGTACTTACGTAAATTATTAGTCAACATTTCTATATAACGTATAAATCGCCAACTAAACCATTAAAGATGTTGCAAATGCAATAGCCATGAGAAATATAATCGTTAAGAATACAGACGAATTGAGAACCGTTACTTTCAAATCGGTTAAAAATTAGTTCCTTGGTGTTCCACAATATTTTTAATTTTAATTTAAAATATGCACTTTTATGGCTTGGTGACTTTGTACGGTTTGTAGATTTTACATTATACATCAACCCTTATGATAACCATTAGCGCTAAGGCCGGCTACACACCTTTCAATTAACTGTTCAGCGTTTTAACAACACTGCAGTTACACACGTCGTGTGTAACTGGTTTGATTAGAATCCTCTATCTGTAAATATATTATTAGATTACAAATTTCTATCCTTACCATAGGGTGTTTTAAACAGTCGAAATGACTCTTCGATAAGGTATTGAAATTAATTTAGTCGCTGACTTAATTGACTTTGTTAATTAATTCACATGTAAAACATTCGTTTAGGCAGCCGTCGCCGGTCAAAGACATTAAATTCAAATGCGCTTGAAATGTAATCAGAGTTGAAACCAACGCTGCGATGAAATAGTTATGGGCTTTACATTAGTGCTGTGAAATCATGCACGAATTTATACCCGGTTCACACTTTAGTAGCGCAGAACAGGTATGGACTCATGGACACTAATTAGTGTTAAAATTATGCCATTTGAAATTTATTAAAAAGTTTAAAAAAAAGGTGGATGATATAATACTTGTTTTTGCTTCGGTAAAAGTGTTTTCTACATATCCTTTTATATAATCAAAATAATGTTCAAAATTTTAATTAAATGTATTAAGTTTCCGCCGACTAAACTTTATTTGGAAAATATAAATAAAAAATAATTAACTTTGATGCCCTCTATCGGTCAAACTATAAAAATGTACTTGTAGATTTACAAAAATGTAGAAGTTACAGAATTAAAACAATTCGTTTTATAAAATGTATATTTAATTATACAAAATTATTGTAATAAGTAAATTGTAAAGACATAAAAAGGCACTAGGTTTTTTATAAGGCACAGGAAATTTATGGCGATTTATTATAATTGATTTACTTTATGCTTAAGAATAACTAAATGGACAATCTTTTTTTTAGCCAAAGGAATAGATTATCCTTCATAAAAAATGATGTTTTTGTTCACATTTTTAAAATACATTTAATCACTACTTAAATTCGTAACAAAAAATAACCTTAAATTATAATGGCATATATTTTGTACAAGCAATCAATTTGGCACTTCCGAGACTTTTAGAAAAGTATACAAAACTTTTTTTTATGTATTAACTAACTGGTATAATATTTAAACTAACAAATTACATGTTTTTTTTAATAATTGAAATAGATTTTATAAAGTAAATTTAAGGGGAAGGTGATTTTCTTAAATAAAATAAAAAAAAACATTCATATCTCTATGAAATGCACAAAAATATCATATATACAGGTAACATTCCGGCATAGTTTAGTGGCTTTTCACAATAAATAGCTTTTTTCACAGATATTTTTATTTAATGGTACCTTAAACGTTCGAGAGATGGCACTGCAATAATATTGTCGCATATATTATTAAAAACTTATTTAAAACTATCGATAATTTTGTAAAAAGCTTAATTAATTAACCGTAGAACGTTTTGAGTATAATAATAATCATAACTAAAATTAATAATTTAATTTAGTTTATAATTTGTAATTTGAAAAATTTTTGCGTGTTGTATTTTAGTCATAACATAATAAACATTTTAGAAATCACTTTTTCACTTATTCTACAATTAAATTGGACGGATAAGAAATATATAAAATACAAACAGATCTTTTAACATCACAATAGTAATACTTTTGCCAAAATAATTATTATTATTGAAGACACATGACACTGAGAAATTTATTAAAGCTGTATAAAATATCTATTACATTATAATTATTTTTAATGACAAAGTAATTATTAAAATCTAAACTTAAATAAACATGAATCATTTTATAAACTCAGAAAATATGTACCATTTTATTTGTTTTGGTCATGTAGTTTTTTTATTTTCTACGAGTGCAATCATCATCATCACAAGCCCACTATACGTCCCCACCGAGGGGCTCGGAGCCTACCCTAAGTAAGGGGTGACTAGGCCATAGGCAACCACGCTGGCCCACTGCGGGTTGGTTTCATCACGATGTTAGCAAATGCAATATTAAAATGTAATAAAAACATAGTATGTAAGCAGTCAGAACAGATATGCTAAAATAGCGAATTTATAACTGTAATTGTAAGAACGTTGTTTTTTTAAATCTTGCTTATACTCGAGTACATTGTCATTAAAGTAATTAACTAAAAAGAAATACACAAATACAACTAAACAGATAAACATGAGTATGTCGTATGCTTTTAAAAGCAAGTGTACAAATAATTCTAAAATTATTTAAACCTAAGTAAAGTTAAAAATCATGGCTAAGAAATTATTTTAAAAAAATATAAAAAATGTATCTTATTATTAATAATATAATAATCAAACCGATTGTGCGTCTACATCTTCACCATAATCCAGGTCATCATAACTGAGGTCTTCGTCTAATGTGTTGACAGCTGTGTCCTTGCCGCCTTGCCGCTCCTTGCCGCCAGGACATGACAGACATCTGGAAATCATACTAATATTATAAATACGAAAGTTTAGATGGATGGATGTTTGTTAGAGTTTGTAGCCTAAACGGATAAACCGATTTCGAATCAAAGTTGTACAGATGTAGAGGATAGTCTGTTATCCTATCTATATTATGATAGTCTTTCACTACGCGGACGGAGTCACGGGCGATAGCTAGTTAACAATAATATGAATGTAATCCTACTACTAACTAATCTAAGTTATTACTCATCTATATTAATATTACAAAGAGGATAGATTTGTATTTTTATATTCATGTAAAACTGAGCCGAGTATAAAAATTCTTTCACCATTAAAAAGCTACGTTATCAATAACATAGGCGATGCTTGTTTATTATTTTTTAATTTTACACGGGCAAAGCCGCGGACAACAGCTTGACAATACTAATATTATAAAGAGGGAAGATTTGTACTTTTTTGTGTAGTCGCGAGCCAAGTCTATATATAGTATTTGAGTTATTTCAATACATACAAAAATACAAATGTGTTTCATAATATTAATATTATAGTAAAATAGTATATCTATACTTTATAATTAACAACTGTCAAAATCATGATAATATTATTTTTTATAATTTATGAACAACACCTGGCAGTAACTTGATATACAATATTATTTGCACAAATCTACATAATGCCGGCCTCGGGCGACAGGTGTGCGAGAACACGCCGCATCAATTAAATCATCGTTCTATGATTGTTCCAATCTCCGAAACATCTCAATTGAAACCAAACAAAATACTTTTAATTTTAAACGGAGTGTGAAAACCAAAATTAAGTTCGAATTCGGCCATTCGATCAGCAGTTACATCAAACTAGCTTTTTTATTTAATCTATGTTGGAAAAGGGGGATTTTTGTCTTTGGAAAAACAAAACAAACTAACTGTTGTTCGCGACTTCCTCCTCAAGGAAATAAAAATTGTAATAAATATAGCCATTATTAATCAGTGATAATGTAGTATTGGTGAAATAAGTTTTGAAATCTGTCCAATAGTTTTTTTTTTTTTTATTATATCATAAGGTGGCAAACGAGCAAGCGGCCACCTGAATCCACCGAAATGGAAAGCGACCGCTGCACATAAACATCCGCAATTGCAGATGCGTTGCCTACCCTTAATTGACGGAGGAGACGCACATTAAGTGGACATTTACCCTTCCTATGCGTCTCCTCCACCGTTAAATCCACTTTTCCTTCCCATCCTTTCTCTTAACGGAAAAGGGTGGAAAGGGAAAGGGACTAAAATTAGGCCTCCGGCACCACACTCATCAGACGAAACGCGGAATTGCTTCCACTTCACGCCAGTTTTCTGTGTGGTCGTGGTATTACACCAGACGAGCCGGCCAATTCGTGCGAAGATGTTAAAGCGGGCTCTACCACTGAAATTTGAGTAATTCCAATACATACAAAAATACAAATCTTTTCTCTTTATAACATTAGTGTAGATAATAGTATTCTTCTAGCTTGTCAAAATTAAGATAAAAAAGTTATCTATAATAAAGATGATGATATTATAAAGAGGAAAGCTTTTATTTTTGTATGTATTGAAATAGCTCAAAAACTACTGATCCGATTTCAAAAATTCTTTCACCATTAAAAAGCTACGTTATTGCTGAGTAACATAGGGTACATTTTTATATTAACGTGATCGAAATACAGCAACAGCTAATTTTTAATAATGTGCAGATTTTTAATTAAAAAAACATTATGGATCGTGTATCGTATGCGTATCGCGTTCGCATTAACGCAATCTATTTAAATCTCTGTTTACGTGAGTCAGAGTGCGGTTAGCGTCTCGCGGTGTTTACCTGCTCTCATTGATTCCGTAGTACAGGCACTTCTCACCGATACACTCACAGCAGCCGTCGTGGAACCATCTGGAAACATTACCGATATATGAAAATTCTAGTTCAATTTACGTCCGATTTTCTTAATTTTATAAGCGCATTTCATTATTTTAGGCTATATTCGTATAGAAGATACAAATGTATTCGGGTACCCTACAATAATAATCTTAATCATGAAAGATGAAAGAGGTGTTCTTCGTTGCACGATCTGTTGAGCTGTAGGCCCAATGACACCAAAAAATACCTTTGCGCCGATTGCTTAATCGATCAATCGGTCCAATGGGGAACAATCTTACAAAGTTTTACAAAGATTAACATGGAATTCGTGTCCGCGTGAAAATTAAAAAGAAAAAATGAAAGCGAGTAGCCTATATGTTCTTACAGACTATCCTCTACATTTATAGCAAATTTAATCGAAATCCGTTCGGCAGTTTAAGTTACACGCGTTAACAACGATCTAAACTTTCGCATTTATGATATTAACAAGTTAACCTGAAGCTGTTGGAGCCCATAGAGCGGCAGGAAGCGCGGCATTTGTCACACGACATGCACTGCGACATGTACGCCACAGTGCAGTTGAATGTCACCACATCACGGCTCACCGGCTCCGGCTCTTGCTCCACACTCTCTGCAACACACATTGCCAAGTAAAAAATAGGAAGTCCAAAAATGCATTATTGTTATAAAAACTTACTAACAAGGCTAGAACATCGGCAACGCTTATAATATCAAGTATTTTAGTTTAACTGTACTTTTCGTTTCGAGGGCATTGAATTTGTAACCTATTTATACAATTCTTAGAAAATCATCATTAGTTACGAATGAAAAGGGATTACTTCGTAACAAAAGTTTTAATTCCCGATTTACGAACTTTTAGGGATTTTAAACTTTTTTGGTAGAAAATCATTAAGGAACAATAACTATATTGATTGAATAGATATAGTTCTGAAAACATATGAAAAATAGCACGAAAAATCCTTTTAAAAGAATTTGGCGTCAAACAATTGAATATCGCCCTTAAAATTAAAACAATAGTATCTACAAAAGGAGCGAATTTTGTCAGGTAGATGAAGGACTAAAATTCCTAAGGGTGCGTCATATAGCAGGGACCAGTTTTTTTTTTTTTTTAATAATTACAGCTAACTGTTTAACTACCGCGGAGCTTACGTCAGTCAGAATACGTAAAAAAATTAATGAAATGAGGTAAATTATTTTTTTAATTTTCGTCCAAACTTTCATTTATCTAAGCAACAAACTAGTTTTAAAGAAACATATAAGAAGTGTAAATCTAAACACTATGGTATAATGCTCAAATTGTCTGTGATAACTTTCCATAAATGCAAATTGAATGCAGAAAGGATGTGGAATAAAGTGATATTAATGTAACATTTTAATGGCAATTATTATTTATTCAAACTAAGTTATTTAATGTTTTTTATTCTACACTACTCCACTTTAACAGCAATATCCAAAAGAAAAATTATTATGCTAATTTAGAACATTAATTGATTTACTTATAAAATGTGACATTCATTTATTTAAAAATAAAAAAAAACATTTGATCAGAAACAACTAAAACATTCATAATTATTTTTAAAAAGGAGTCCGGTACTCACTACATATTTAACATTTTTATGAAAATTTAAATTTAAAATATAAGGTAACTTACGTAAATGATACACCACTTGTTTTTCAGGGTTTCCAGGTCTATAAGCAGAGAGATCAATATCCACTGGGTATGTAATAGACAGCCACCTCTGCTGAGGATCAGGCTCACTGGTTAATGCAGCAAACAGTCCTGGCACTCCATCAGTCAGCTCTTCCACATGGGACGACTTTGAAAGCTCGGTTTGGGTGTCATTAGGCTTCGGACACATATCTGTGGAGGTAGAAATGATTGAAATATTTACTATAATCATCTGAGTACATTAACAATATTAAAATAAAAACCAGCAAGAACAATGCTCCCCGCTAAGATTTCAGTTCCAGAAATTAAAATGAATTTAAGGCTTATCAGTAAGGAATTTTAGAGTCCACTACATGTGTATTATACTACTGCAGTAAAGGTGCTTGGTCTAGAAAATTTGTCCATGCAGGTCTATTGTTCTATCAATTCCATTTGATACACTGTTGTGGTGGTACTAATTAAAGTTATAATGCATTAACTTACCAACGCAACTGCAACATTCACTGTACAAGTAGCTAAGACAGTTAAAACAATCCTTGCAACACGAGCAGTCCTTCAGATCACACTTGCAGGATTGTGTCAGCATGCATTTGGACACGACACTCGCACATATCGCTTCATTACAAGCGTAAATAATTGGCACAATACATATGACCGCAAAAACGAAGTAGATTTTATTAGCCATGGTCAGTTAAAACACACTCAAAACAAAAATAAACAGAATGTCTGCTATTTCTTTTCTAATTAAACCCAGTCATGAAAAACAAATTAATGTACAAATGAACTAACGAAGCTATGGTTTTAAATTATGTCAATTAAATTTCAGCAAACTAAACTTTTTGACATAAACAACTTAGGAAAACGCTATGTTTAAGTTTTTTATACGTGTTCTTCGTTTAAACAACTTAAAATGAATGAAATAAATTGACAATTGAATGAATTAAATCAACTCACAACTCACTCAAAACCATAACTTGAATTTCGAACTTGGCGTCAGTGTTACCAGACATTAAACATTTTCACATTTCACGTAATGAATATTTCCCTACTTTGAACGAGATTAATTTAATCCTCAAAACTGTCAACATATCTGTAAGCGACTGGGGCGGATAAGGCATTAATAAAAAAAAACACGTTGTTCACTAAGTTTTTACCTTTTGAACTGTTAATTTACAGAATTTATATTCAAACATTAAAATTGGCCGTTGTTAAATCCTGCTTATATTTTATTAGGGGATAGTCCTTCGCTTCAGAACAGGCTTCGCTCGGCTAACAAAGCATACGCCATATTTAAGGAAATATAAGCTTTTCTGTTTTGTAGTTTTGGATACTAACTATTAAGTGCAAGCAAACAAACGATTAAATTCTTCCTGTTAACAACATTAGTATAGATACAGGCTTTAAATACTTCTCTTGTTATATACTTTTTGGACCTCTTATTGCCGTATCAAGTAACATACTTTATTTTAATTTACCTACATGAACTTACTTGGTTTCAAGCAGTGGACCTTATATAAAGATAATCGTATTAACACGGCATAGGATAAAATAAACAGCATTACCGTGGTATTCAATGCCAAATCATGCATACAAAAATATACAGTTATCAATGCGATTACATAATATCTTGCACGGATCTTCCGTCAGTGAAAACTCACTGTACAATAGAGGAAAATAGCAACGCACTGCGTCCGGTTATAATCTACATAAGTATATTAGAAACAAGCTATATTTGGATCCTGTAACATCCTTAGTACGGATTCCGTACATCAGGATTATAAAATCAAAAACAGATTTACCTGATAATGATAAACTATCAAGAGATTATTAACAAGGCGGTGGTCTGCATAATCATAATGAGATAAGATTTTGTTCAGTTCAGTATTGTTTTTGAATAATGGTAAGTAGAATCTGTAGTAACTAGTACTAAATCTCTTTTTATTATATATTAATCACACTTTTCTGCGAGAAACTTCTGTTTCCACAATTCTCTTCTCAATCGTAACGCTCTTTTTCTTCTAGTGCCTGGATGTTTTGCATGTAAATCATAAAGCATAGCAACACATTTTGTCACTACATTCATATGTGTAAAAGTACCAATCATCATGTTAAATTGTCGGACATATTTCCACAAAGGATTGCAATAAAGTTATCATGTAATGGACTCCGAGTTTGCCATTATTAACGATATATACTAGGTTTAAGAAAGGTATTTGTTCGTAAACTTCAGTGGACACATTTTTATCAGTGTTGCCATGCACTTAGATAATTTCAATTCTTTTTCATAGTGGAAGCTACTAGCTGGACTTTTGATAGTAACAATAGTGGGGGCTTATAAAAACCCTTACTATGCTCCTCGCAGATCTGTAAACGTCCATTTGTTTGAATGGAAATGGAACGATATAGCAAACGAATGCGAAAGTTTCCTGGGACCAAAAGGCTACGGCGGCATACAGGTATCATTCAAAATCTTAGGCTAAATATGATGCCTAATATGTTTATTTTAATAATGACAACTCTTCTCTATCTGTAGATATCACCTCCAAATGAGAATGTGGTTCTCTGGACATACAACCGGCCGTGGTGGGAGAGGTACCAGCCCATCTCATATGTACTGGTGACACGTTCCGGCGACGAGCGACAGTTTGCCGACATGGTTCGTCGCTGCAATGCCGCTGGTGTCAGGTTAGTTTGATGCTCTTGACTACTATTGTATAGAACTTTTACCCTAATTCTTTTTAATGTTAATTACTTTGACGTTGTAGGATTTACGTAGATGCAGTAATAAATCATATGACTGGCGAGCCCCCGGAGAACTTTGGTACAGCTGGCAACACAGCTTCGTACCGAGACTGGTACTACCCCGCGGTGCCGTATAGGAGGGAACATTTCAATTGGCCGCATTGTGTTATTGATGGCATGGACTACGTGAATAATGCGTGGAGAGTAAGTCAAATTAAAATAGAAATTGTGGATGTTTTTAGGAATTAGGACTAACTTTATTATTATATTTTTTTTAGGTGCGTAATTGTGAACTTGTCGGACTAAAAGATTTAAATCAGGGCGATGAACATGTAAGAAACAGAATAGTTGACTTCATGAATAGACTTATAGACCATGGTGTTGCTGGCTTTAGGTAAAAAGCAATTGTTGAAATTACATAACATCTACAAAATAATGAAATACTTATATAAGTAGGTACTTACTATTGTTATGTTTTAAAGGATTGATGCAGCGAAACACATGTGGCCTCAAGATTTAAGAATCATTTACGACCGTTTGAAGAATCTGAACACGGCACACGGGTTCCCTGCAAACGCACGTCCGTACATCTACCAAGAAGTTATCGATTACGGTGGAGAAGCTATCAGCAGAGATGAGTACACTCCATTAGGAGCCGTCACCGAGTTCTTAGCTGGTAGGGAACTTAGTAATGCGTTCAGGAGAAATAATCAACTTAGATGGCTATCGACCTGGGGTCCACAATGGGGTCTTTTACCTCACAGCGATGCCCTCACCTTTATTGATAATCACGACAACGAAAGAGGTCACGGCGGTGGAGGTGGAATTCTGACATACAAAGAACCTCGCCCGTACAAGGGAGCTATCGCCTTCTTGCTGGCGCATCCGTACGGTGAACCCCAAATAATGAGCAGCTTCGATTTCTGGGACTCGGAAGTAGGACCACCGATGGACCGAAACGGAAATATTATTTCTCCAGCAATAAATTCGGTAAATAGTTTAAGTTATAGTTATTCAAACTGTCACATAAATTTCATTATAAATAGGTGGCTATTTCTGTAGGATGGTACATGTGGCAACGGGTGGGTATGCCAGCACCGCTGGAGACAGATCTACGCGATGGTCGGGTTCAGAAACGCTGCGGCTTCGACCGGCCTCACCAACTGGTGGGACAACGGCAGCAATCAGATCGCTTTCTGCCGCGGTGGAAACGCGTTTATAGCTTTCAACAACGACTTATGGGATCTTAATCAAAATTTACAGGTATTTAATAAAAACACCAAAAATTTTCAGTGAAATTATTAAGTCTGTTCTGTTCAACATAGAATTTTGTTACTAGGCGTGTAGAAGGTATAGTTGGATTTTAACAGCGTATAAATCCGTTTCTAAGAGTTTTAGTAGAACAACACATTTTTTTTTTCATCCATTGCAAACTTTAAGTTTGATTTTATTTCAGACTTGTTTACCCGCTGGTAGATATTGCGACGTGATATCAGGTGATAAGGTGAACAACTCTTGTCGCGGTAAAACTGTGACAGTTGGCAGCAATGGCTTCGCGCAAATTATCATTGGCGCCAACGACTATGACATGATGTTGGCAATACACGTTGGTCCTGAGGTAAGTTGCAGCCTAGAGTTTATTTTGTTATTTCATCTTTGTTGTTTTATTTCAATCCGTCATTTATTTCAGAGCCGGCTGTGATTTTTTCACGAAAATGAGAAAATGACAAGGAAACAATAAGTTATTGCCATTGTAAACTGATTATTAAAACTGTTTATTATTAATAGAATATTGTTTATTGTCCTACATTTACTTTATTTTTGATGCAGAAAATGTGATGAAAAAAATAATGTTACCATAATTAGTGACCACACAAGGAAAACCTTAGATTATGATATTTAACTATTTATTTTCTTTAACTTCAATAGCATAATAGCCTTGCTCAAGGTTGTGCATAGTAGATTTCATTCTTTTAATTACTAAATAGTTAATTACAAGTTTTACACCCTGATATTTTAGTTGCCCTCAACTTTCATGAAATATTATTAGATTTATTTTAAACTCTTGATATTATATCACTGCAACTACTTGAAATTACAATGTTATATATTACTTTTATATTCCGGCCTTCGTTATAATATTGCTTATAGTAAAAAATAACAATAAACTAACTAAGGTTTGATAGTAACAATTTACGTAAAACATACAGTTTTAATTCAATATTTGTAACGCTCCTGTTTCAGTCTTTCTCAATTTTAATTACTACGTAATCTGAAACCTGTGTGACGGGTCTATACTAAAAAGTCAAAAGGCGTTCACTAGTACAGGTGACGGGAAAATACTTAAAGCAATGCAGTAGCTCCGACGAAAAGTTTACGCATTGTGGACTAATTGCAATAGAATGTATCTGTAATTTAGATGAACAATAAGAGACGAATAATTAACAATTCCAAAGCTCAATGCAATCGTGCCTAAAATATGCTTTTGTGTAGCCAACATCTTGTTCAATAATATTGTCGGTAACTGTACCAACCGGCCGCCAACGCCTCAAAACGACGGAGTACCGTAGCGTCATCGGCGCGCCTCCCGCCATTCGACGCTATGGCGGCGCGCTCACAACTCCTGCGCACAGGTTATTATTATTATTTTTTTTATAATTGCAGCGTTTCTTCTAATCTTATTGTCAGTATGTTTTATCCTGTATATTCGTAGTGCAATTAAAAAAATGATTTAACTTAAAATATAAGTTACAAATTGGTTAAGGGCGTTAACTTATTAAGGCTCTTGCGAAGTGAAAAGCCTTGACGACAGTACATATTCCTAACACAAACAAATGTAACAAATAAAATATAGTTGTTTTTTATTTATTCACGACCTCGTTTATTTAAAACGTTTTAACATACTACCGACAATATGAAATAGGACATAAGTGTTATTGCTTTTATTAGTATTTTGTTTCTGCGCCACAATTTAAGTATTCAAATAGATACGTGACTCGTATTCCACAAGACCTTGTTAAATCTCTTTACAAACTTCTGAAACAAATGGTTATATTTTCTTGTTTATATTATATACAATGTAGAGCTATTTTTCATATCTGTTTACAATGTAACACGAATTTAGCACTTTACGTTTTTATGCTTTGAGTTTTTTTTACTTTACCTAACGTAGCGGTCACATAAGTCAAATTTAATATGCCAATTGAAACATGAACGTGTTGATATTTTATAGATTGTACTTATTTATATTTATTTAGTAACTATTGCGCGCGACTATGTCCGCGTGGAATTAAAAAAAACAAAAGTGAGTATCCTTCCAGACTGTGCTCTACATCTATGCCAAATTTCATCGAGATCCGTTCAGCGGTTTAGGCTACAAACTTTAACAAACATCTATCCATCCATCTAAACTTTCGCATTTATAATATTAAAATATTACATATACTTAAGTATTAAAGTATGATTTGAACCTTGGCCTACAAAGGCTATACGAGCAAGCTATTAAAGGGTTAAGTCAATTACATAACACCTTTTTAAATCCATATATGTTAACCATTTCAGTGTTCAATGGCCAACAAATCCGTAAGCTGCACGAGCTTAAGAAGAAGGATAGAGCGGGTGTGGTTAGACTGAGAGAAGTATTGGATGACAGGTTGCAAGAGATCAAAAAGGCCAAGACATGGAAACACGAGAGGGTATTGACCTCGCCACAAGATACTAAGGTATGTTTCACGTTAAGGATTTAAACAAATCTTTAATGTTAGTTAATTTAAGATATACTCTAGCAAAATTCTCATTTGCTGTCACGGAGTGATATTAATTACGTGTTTATCTTATCAAACTTCCATATCTTATGTTTACCACGAAAGGCACCTTGTAAAACCTTGTGAAAGTACTAACAAGGAAAATACATACTTTGATATGTTGATCAACATAATCTTGATTATACTCTATTAGCTGTTGCTTGTAACTTCGCCCGCGTGAATTTAAAAAAATGCTAAAAACATAGCCTATGTTACGCAGTGATAACAAAGCTTTTTAATGATGTAAGAATTATTTGAAATCGGTCCAGTAGTTTTTGAGTTATTTCAATACATACAAAAATTCAAAAATACAAATCTTCCATCTTTGTAATATTAGTTTTGATATTTCTTATTGGAATGGCGAAGTCTTTAGGTTTGGTTTGATTTTATTTCCACTAACGCCATTATAATTGAAAGCTATAACTGGATATTTACGTAGGTGTAAAAACGGCTGATATGAGAGCTATTTGTATCTGTTGATAGTATATATAAATTATTAAACAAATGGAAACCAAATCAAACCAAAATGAAAACAGGTTTTACTCTTTGTTTATAAGCTTTCAGTTCAGATGAGAATTTATTTTATCCTCGAATTTATCAATTTCCTGCGAATAACCTCGAATAATGAGGGTAACCTTGTTTTTGTTTTCGGATTTTCCTGCTTTGCATTGTCTTTACAAATGTTACTTTTACAGGGGAATTAATAACAAATTAAAACTTCGTATTTTTAAAATTCAGTTTTTTTTTAGGTAAAAGTAAGAGGGGCAGAAGGCCAGTTCCTAAATTTCTGCGCAAACAACTACTTAGGTCTTTCTGTGAGTACATACGTTTTGGAGTATCATATACAAATGTTAATGTATTTTTAATTATAACAGCTTTTTGATCCATTTTTTTGAATCAATTCCAGAATCATCCAGAAGTAGTAGAGGCAGCACGCGAAGGACTAAAAAATTATGGCGCAGGATTAAGTTCTGTGCGATTTATTTGCGGAACACAAACTATACATAAGGTAATTTCAAATTGTTTTTACTTAGTTATAATCAAACTTGATTTCTAGAAACAACATAGGTGATAATTTTAACTTCCTTGTCCAATTTTGTTAATAGGAATTAGAAGAACGTCTATCTAAATTCCACGGTAGAGAGGACACTATACTCTATGGGTCGTGTTTTGATGCAAACGCGGGTCTATTCGAGTCAATGCTGTCACCAGAGGACGCCGTGTTCTCAGATGCGCTCAACCACGCGTCCATCATAGACGGTATTCGTCTGTGCAAAGCGCAGAAGTTCCGGTATCCCCACAGAGATCTCAATGGTAAGAATACACAGAACACGTTTTACACTGATTTTTTCGTGATAATTAAAAAAAATCTTAAGCGCGATAAGGTGAGAATCAACAAACACAATAGAGGGTATTCTTATTAGAATATGGCTTCAATAAAAATGAATAAAATCGATGTACATCTGTCCCTTGTTCTCTTTTTTCTCTGCCGCATATGTCAGCTCATCGAAACATAAAATTGCTAAATACTTTTTTAAATGTTTATTTGTTTAACAGAACTGGAACATCTGTTGGCCCATAGTGAAGCGAGATTGAAGCTGATCGTGACGGATGGCGTATTCTCTATGGACGGTACAGTCGCACCCATCAAGGGTCTCCGCAATCTGGCAGATAAATACCGAGCGCTACTCGCGGTCGACGACAGCCACGCTACCGGATTCTTTGGTGAAACGGGACGGTAAATACTCGATGCTTTGTACATGTTGATAAATAATGTTCACGATTGGTTATGAATAAAAAAACCACAGCATTAATCTGTTAAACGTAGACTTTATACTAATAAACAAGCAATCGTCCGCACTTCGCGCGGAATTTAAAAAAAGTGGTCGTCTATAACCTATAACATTCCCGGGTGCATCAGTCCGAACGTTTCGGAGATTACCCGCAATAAACGAGGCTTGCAGACAGACATACAAAAAAAAAATTAAATGCTTATTTCATCATTCGCGAAATCTATAATTTTTCTTTTCATAACATACAGATATATCAATTTTATTATATGTACAGATTTTATTTGTTACTTTAAATCTCCTAAGTGGAGATTTATTATGAGGATTATACGCTAAGGGTCGTTTTTAGTGGCCAATTAGGGACTGAATGTGACAGTAATAATGTACGATGTACCAGGGGAACAGAAGAGTACTGCGGTGTGGCGGGCGCGGCGGACATCATCTGCTCGACGCTGGGCAAGGCGGTGAGCGGCGCGGCGGGCGGCTACACCACGGGCCCGCGCGAGCTCGTCACTCTTCTTAGGAACGTCTCCCGCCCTTACCTGTTCTCTAACGCACCACCACCGCCAGTCGTAACCGCGTCTTTGAAGGTAATGCTCAATATTCCACATGAATATAAACTCAAATAAAAAAATATACTATCGTAATAAAATTAAGCTGTTCTGATGCAGATTGATCTGCATCATATAAAGTCTGTATTTTATTATTTACATGCCGATAAACTTTCAAAATGTAAATGACAAAGAAGGCGTTTTGCATTGGCATAGTTACCATGGCATCATAGTTTCTTTACTGCTATTGGCCTGTAATTTTCTACCCTTTCCGGCACGATGGTTTTTTCAATTTATTCAGCCCCTAAGTTTAATAGCATTAAAATGTCTGAAGCGTGTCGTAAACGTAGAGCTGTGTATCAAAAAGAGAATAATTCAAAAATATGCTGTGATTTCTGGATACATAAGAAAGTGTGTGTTTACTTTTTATATTATCTATACATTGTGTATTTTCTAGTCACTAGACCTAGTAGAGAACAGTGGTGAGCTCCGTCAGCGGCTGCGCGAGAACACGCGTGCGTTCCGTGCGGGGCTGCAGGCGGCCGGCCTCACTGTGGCGGGGGACGACCATCCCATATGCCCCGTCATGGTCGGCGAGGCGCCGCTCGCAGTCGACCTCGCCACTGGAATGCTTGGTATGATGTTTTAATTTTTTCGACTTAAGGTGTTCTCATCTTATCTATGTTTTATCTTATCTAACTTTTAATAATAATAAATAATAATTTTATTTTACATCAAGCGCAAAACATCAGCTCATAGAGTTGTTAGTTTCTTGTACTAATAATAATTAAAACTTACCTTAAAGTAAATAAAGTATTTAGTATAAATCTAAGGAATTTTGGATTGTTTTTGGTCATACTCTAATTTTGTAATTAATTTAAATTCAAACAACTAAAAAAAACCGTCTTTATTTTTTTTTTCAGAACGTGGCATATACGTGGTGGCATTCAGCTACCCCGTGGTGCCAAAAGGCGGTGCCCGTGTGCGAGTACAGATCAGCGCCGCGCACACGACACACGACATAACGCAGGCTGTGGACGCGTTCGCGGAGGTCGCTAGGAACGTCGGCATCGTCAAACCATAGACAACTGTTTATTATCTGTATTGAGAAAACTGTAATTTGAAATGTTATGCTGTAAATAAAAATTAACTACGCAATCAATTAACATTTTGAATTTTATGTATGGTTACACTCAAAGTAAAAAAACATGGTAAATAAGATTGAAAATGTCGGCGTTTATTTTTAAATTATTACTTCTCACAAATTTTTTTAATTAAATTTAATAAAAAATATTTCTGAAATGAATCGCATGTAAACAAGGACGTTAGTTACGAATGTGGAGGTACACCGTTAGAGGTAGACCTAGACAGAGATGAATGGAGTGCGTGAAAGGAGACATAATCAAGAAGAGAGTGATTACTAAAATGACGGATGATAGAGTTATTTGGAGGACGAAAACCCGGAGCGGCGATCCTACGGGAGTAGGTAGGGGAGATGATGCAAAAAACTTTCTTAAAATAGATATAAGAAAATAATAATTCTGTTGCTGCCCCAGCGGAGTAGCAAGAAAGAAAATAAAACATATTAATATAACAATAATTTATTTTCGTAACTCACACATTTGCTGACAACTTAACATTCAGTGTGACCACATTATAACATCACGTAGGTCCAAATTAAAACTATGTAAAGTCATTATAAATATTTACATTGGTATCAAATCGAGTTATCACTGTTTACCCCAGTTCGTCGTATAATGCTCGATGAAATTCCGACACTGACAAAATTCGATGTTACATACACAAATAAATGCAGTGTTATTTTCCGTACGTTCGCTTCAAATTTACACATTCACTAAGTTCCATTTTATAGTTAAAAATTTCAATACGCCTAAACATGGAGGGTATTTTTTTAAACGATATTTTTGTCTTATTCTTATAATTGTCGTGAGGACGTATTGCTGTTTCTTGAGACAGGACAGTGAGCAAAATTTATAATTCACTAGATCTTGTTTGCAATGGAATATATTGCTTTAGTGTCGTAGAATTGGCGGCTTCACTGGAGGGCCTGGGAAAGAAAAAAACGATTAAATTAGCTAGAAGCTACGTGATAGACCATATTTTGGAAATCTGTAGGAAAGCACGTAGCTAACATGCCCGTTATATAAACTCTCAGAAGCAATGTAATAAGTTTAATAAACTAACTGTTTTTCGTGACAATGTCCGCGTAATATAAACAAAAATTAGTAAAGACATAGCTTATGTTACTCAGCGATAACGTTGCTTTTTAATGGTGCACGTTTTTGTAATCGGCCCAATAGTTTTTCAGTTATTCAACATATACAAAAATACAAATCTTTTCTGTTTATAATAGTACTAGCTTTCGCCCGCGACTACGTCCGCGTGGAATTAAAAAAAAACAGAAGTGAGTAGCTTATGTGTTCTTCCAGATTATCCTCTATGTTTATGTTATTTTTCATTGAGATCCGTTCAGCCGTTTAGGCTACAAACTATAACATCCATCCATCCATCTAAACTTTTGCATTTATATTATTAGTAAGATAGATGACGATTTAATTTCCACAGTTAAAAAACAGTTACAATGGCCCGAGAGTTTATAAACTACTCATTTTTCATAGCTCATATAAACAAAACACGACATTAAGAAAAACAAAATGCATAACTAAATCAAAATCATAAAAAACTTATAAAAAATAGCATTTTATTGTTTTCCCTACAATTTGTGTATAATTCAAGGTGGACAAACAATAGAGCACGGTTTTCGATTACATTTTTTTAATTCTAATTTACTTAAGGAAGTATGCCTTCATAGTACAAAAGGGTTATTTGCAACAAGACAAGTTGACCTCAGCAAAGGTCAGTCAAAAACCCTGACGATGTAAACGTAAGGAAAATAATCTTAAATGCACTTTATCTGACCTTAACATTACTTTCATCGTCCACATAAAAACAGCTATTTTAATTATGTTTAAATCACTATAACTATAGACTTGTTTCAAATACAGTCTACAATATATTATATTAAAATTACTAATATAGACAACCCTAAAATAACTTTGTGTAAATGTTGTAAAACACTACGTTATTACTATAAAAATACAATGCGGCGACAATAACATATGACTTGCAACTCGAGTTTTACTTTAGTGTGTAAGACATTTATCTAAAGACCCAAAGTTATTACATTATACACGTCTATGACGTCATCGAACTCTACCGTCACATTGTCAACGAGTAATGCACATATTTAAAACGGCTATTAAAAATTCATGTTAAATTACACGAACAATATTTGTCATAAATGGACAAAAGAATTTGCTCAAACAACTACTTAAACGAATTATTTTCGGCGATGACTTATAGTCACCATTGAAAAATAAATACAACACAAGTATTTGGTTATGTATAAAGGAAATTTACATAAAATATTGTCCTAACGACGTTATTTAAGTGCTCTAACCGGACATAATTGACTACTCAATCATTGGTAACCCATTCAGTCAAACAAAAACGTCTTTTTGCAAAAACAAAGACCTACTCTTGCAGTTCTATGACAAAAAAATCAGTGCTTACCCGGAGCCTGAGTCGTGGTACTGGTTGTAGAGCTGGTTGTGGACGTTGAACTCGACGTGGGCTCCACATTAACTGGGACTGAAGTATTTACTGGCTTCTGTAAAACATACAAAGAGTTCTGTATTGCAGAAAACTTTAAAGTACCCTAAACAACTAAAAATAGAGGGAAAAAGAACCTCGGACTTAATTTGGGCATACAAGAATTTTAAATGCATAGTTACATTGATGTCAAGATGAAAGGACATGATTAAGGTAGTAAATTCCAATATGACGGTAGTTAGAGATGTATGGAAGAACAGCACATACTACCGACGCTCCGTAGGGACAAGGGCAATGAAAATGACTTACATTGATTTCCTCTATCCTCGTTTCAAGGCTGTTAACTTTGCTGAGGAGCGTTGCATTTAGTGTAGCAACTTGTTCTTTAAGGTCATCGTCCTTCTTTGCGTTGGTGGAGACGTTAGCGATAGTCTCGTTGCTTCTAAGCTCGAGCTGGTGCAGGGAGGTCTTCACCTCTTCTACTCCCGTGGTGGCTGTTAGCGCTAATTTACGGGCCGAGTTTAACGCGCCATCGAAACTATTTATCTGAAACAATTGAATGCTCATCTGAATGATACAAGCGAATTTCCTATATCATGTAGAATTTTTAAGTGGTCGCTATGGAAGTTTCTTAGTGTTATTTAATGTAATAAGCCAACATTGTTTAAGTAACAAAGAAGCTATTTTCAGGGCGGCAATTCCTTTATTTCCTAGTTAAAAGCGATGGTTCTTAATATTTATAGTCTAGCTATGTTACCTGTGAGCCGATATCGCCGACAGTTCGTTGCAGTTCAGCGAGTCGGCGCGGCGTATCCGCCAGTTTGGGGGCGGCTGCGAGCTGGTCGGCTACCGAGGCCAGTTCTACAGCGGTCTGCTGCGCACGACGAGCCAGCTCCGCGTGTTCCCTTTCCAGCCTGGTCAACCGCTCGTGTAAGCTGGTCGCGTTCGCGCGTAGCTCCTTAGCGGCGCTGTGGCATACTTGCAGCGCGTCACCCACGCTGTCGCTACTCGTTGATACTAGAACAAATACGTCACGTCAACTAGTGGCATTGTGTTCATACGATGAACATGGCGCCAACGTAAACTATAGTACGTTTAAAACGCAAATTTTGCAAGACAAAACATTAAAACATGAACATACGATAGATAACTAAAATCCTCAATTCTTCCTTTCTATAACATTATTTTATTTATTTATTAGCTTACGCCCGCGACTCCGTCCACGTGAAATAAAAAAAAAAACAAATGTGAGTAGTCTATGTGTTCATCCAGGCTATCCTATATCCTATATCTCTAACAAATTTCATAGAAATCCGTTCAGGCGTTTAGGCTACAAATTCTAACAAACATCCATCCATCCACCTAAACTTTCGCATTTATAATATAAGTGTGATTTATTCTTTTGCACAAAAGTTACAAAACATATATTTAATTAGTTTTAAATTAACACAGAAATCGGTATTTATCAAAGTAATTTAAAGAACAAGCTGTAAATCGCAAAATTGAGACTTACAATAATGTATTTATGTGCCTAATCGTTCCCACCGAGGGTCCTATCCATCATTAGGTTGACAAGTCTACTTTGAAGTTTGCTACTTTGTAAAATGTTTTGAGTTCATAAACATTTTTAATATGATATCAATAAACTAGCATATCCACTACAGGGATTTTATAAAGATGTAACCTTGAAATTATGTAGTATTTAAATGCGTCTGTGATATCAAACACGTTAATTTATCACGCACAAGTGATACATAAAGAAAGTCAAATGTAAAAGCTGAACAAATAAAGTATAAGCTATATTATGCAGTATTATTTATGTAAAAGTGGTGTATAGAAAGATGGCAATCATGTCTGAATTGTTAACTATTTTTACAAGATCCTTATACCACTAACTAGCATATTAAACAAACCTTTTGACGTACTAAGTTAAATGTAGGAAAAGTACTAATCAGCTTATTTTGACAGCAAAGTAAAACTTTATTTCCGACCGACAGGGTTTGTTTCTATTGTTAAAATGTAAATAAGGTCTTGCATTTTAAACAAAAACTATTTAATTCTTTGACGTCACGTGCATTGTGTACAGCTTAATTAACTAAATTTCCAAACAATACTAGTCAAATGGAAATAAATGATAATTGGAGTTTTTTAAGACAAGTTCTGTTCTGTCTGTTCGACAAGTAAGCTCTACTATGAATACTCGGTACAAGTAGTTCGACTACTTCAAATTGAAATTAAATGAAAAAAATTTTTGGCTCAAAAATATGAAGTTAAGAAAATAGTCTAGGTTCTAGATAGTCTATTTTCTATTCTAGTGTTAATTTAATATCAGAGGTGTTCATATCAATCAGCTACGGCATAGTAATAAGATAAATACAAGTGTCAATAGTGTCGGCACGTCTTTGATCTGAGAATTTGTTAAGTGACGGACGATGATTTCGTGATAAACTATCACTATTTAAATAGATCATGGCAAACATATATCAACGTTGTCTTGATAGTGTACGCTAAGATGGATATCTTATGGTAGTTATGTGGTATCTAGATATAAACATGATCTTTATACTCTGCTGTTAAGAATTTAATTTTTATTTGAGCAACTATGACCTCATCTTACCTCGGTTTAACAAGATTTTTGGTTTATGGTGAGCAGTCAATTATTTAAAAATTTCTTCATAATGTAAATTACATCAAATATTCACAACGTTATTTTCATGATTTAACCGTGCATACCTAAGTCGGCGGATCTAACGAAGATAAGCATAAAAGCAGATAAACGCCTACACTCAAATCCGATCTGTGCATGTTAACGTATTCTCAAACGAACCTCTATCCATTTCGATGCGAAGCGAGACGATCTGCCGCCGCACATCCACAAACAGCCAGAGCACTGTGGCCGCAGATACTACGCATACACATAGTGCAAGTGCCGCGGCTAGACGGAGAAAAGGGCGCGAACGACGTCGTCTAGAGCTTCTTCTACCCCATGGTTCCCCTTCATCACTTGAAGCTGACAGAAGTCTCCCTCCCCTGGAGCCAGCTCCACCAACCAGAGCATCCAGTTCTCTCCTTTTCCGCATCTTCTTGCCGACGCGCAGCGGCACCGCCGCGTGCACCGCGCTCTCCATAACGCACTAAGTCGCTACCGCGAACGCATCCGCACCACACTGTGTCTACTGTCACTTATCACACACTGACTCTCTTAAGATCGACACGAGCGCACTAGACAACAACTGTCCGACAAGTGAGCGGCTGTACGTCGACTTCTCGGTACAAGCGTGTAAGGAAATCAAGTAGACGACAGACGGCCGTGTTACCTTCTAGACAAAAGCGGGTGAAAGAAACTTTATCAAGGCGTTATGATCTATTAATAAAAAATATCACAACACGTGCTTGTATTTGTAACTTTGTTCTGATATTTACATTTTCAGAAACCTAGTTCAAGATAATAAAGAAAAAAAAACTTTTTTTTTCTTCATTATCATTTTTAGCCACATAAGATGTTAAAGTAAATTTAGGAAACGTAACTATAGAAATAACTAGAAATTCTTTGGTCATGGGCGGAACGAGCAATAATACTAAATGAATCTATCATTGCCGTCAAATGACCAATCAACCCGCAATGGCTTACGTGACAAACGGTGTTGACTGAATTAAGGCGCAGTAGTTAAATTAGCCGTTCATTATGTAAGGTCATTTACTCGTCGACATTGACTCTCTGTACCTCCGGTCGTATTGCTTTGGTAGCCAGCCTTGATCTTGAAATTTACGTTTAGAAGTAAAGATATTTCACTTCTTTATTTGATAAAAAATATTTACAGCAACTTATTATATTGCAATTATACAAAAAAATCAGAGGTTTAAATAATTGCAAGTGTCCCAAAACCACTAAGCAAAACGAATAAATATACTACTTGAAAACTAGCTCATAAACTACAACACTAGAGTAGTATAATGTTAATGCGAAAGAGATACAATTTCAGTTGACAACGGAAAGCTGAGAATTTTCATAGAACGTGAACCTATTTCCTGGTTGACAATAGCCAACTCGTCGCGCCATAAGTACACCTAGAAATTAGACACTCTGAACATAACTCAGACGTGAAGTGGGTCGGTGTATCCAGGTTTTACAACAGAGTAAGTTACTATTTTAACATTATTATAAGAGGTAAAATTGCACAAACTTGGGTTCTCCCATTAGTCATGTAGCAAAAATATACATTTATCAAACTTGCAGATAAGGCAAAACGTAACTAATGTAACCTGACGTAATACCTCATTATAATTACGGAATAAAAATATTATAATATCTAATGGAAATCGAATAAGTAACTGGTATTTGAACTATTTCTGATATAGTGAAAACATTTATGCACAAATATTCTTTGCTTCTTTTACATATAAATTACTAAAACAAATGTATATTTAGTCCAGATCTGTTTCTATGCTCTAGAATTGCAAAAAACATACCACATAAGTGTGACAATGATATTAGTGTCGAGAACAATAGCTGACTCATGTAACGGGGTAGATTTACTTCCCAAACGCATTGTGAATTTGTGAACGCTATTCTTGTCAGAATATAACATCTCTACTATGTAGGGAAAACGTACGGGACATAAACCGCCTTGATGATCGAGGTAATTGTATAATTTGCATGCAATTCGCCAAAGGTCACTAGTGTTAATATATTTCGAGACTTTTAAGGGAAGCTTTAAGTCAACAAATTATTTTCAAGACAACTTTTATATTATTTTTTTTTTATTTATTAGACAAAAGCATTAATTTAAAAGTACAATAAGAGACGTTATAAGTGGTACAGAAACCCACAGGATTTATGTGTGACCACTGGTCGCTTAGTTTATAGCATATGAAAAATAATAAAGAAACTTAGACTATTTTACTCAAAAACAACGCTGTTTTTCAACGGTGAAAGAATTTGAAATCGGCCCAGCAGCCCCCGTATATATATATATTAGTATTGTTAAATTAAAAGAGATATGCGAATAAAATGCATTTAACTTTGAACATAAAACTGAATATAAAAAACTTTTGTGCGGCCTCAACAAACACTAACACTTAGTTCGAAAGACCTTTTTTGGTTTATAACGTTGTCAACAAAGCGATTAAAGTAAAAGTTAGCATATTATTTCAGTATTATAATTCTTTATGATTATTAAACATACACGAACATGTTTTTCAGAAATAACAAACAACGAGATACGTAAAAATAATAGCACTTATACGCTCGCGTTATTTCAAACCATTAGTATGAATTAGTGATAAGATAAATTAACAAGAGACCTATTATCCACACTAAACTACGGAGGCGTTATCGACCTACGGCTCTGTACGCAGTGAATGAAGAACTGCGCATGCGTGCGAGATGCGGCACGCCAAAGAAAACGTAAAACAATCAAACCAAAATAATAAAAAAACAACTGTATAAAAACACTAGTCGATATTAAAAAAATTATAAAACAGAACAAGAAAACAAAAAACAGCGTTTAAAATTTTTGTGTCATTCCAAATTCAATTTTCTGAAGTCGTAAAAGAATTCGCACACATACATTTAAAGGCACAAAGAACTCACGCAATCACTCTTACACTGAAATATAACTGTACTTAATAAACAATATGTAAGTAAGAATTGTTATTAGCAGCACCTCAAGGGTCTACCAGGATCGAGCTAGAACTAAATGACGTCACTAAAGAGAACCACTCGACGCATGCGTACACAGATAACACGGATATACAGATGCTAGATAGCGTATGACAAGAGGTTCAAATTCAACTACATATGTTTTTTTATATTGAGAGTGAGAGCATAACACGGCATTTACAAACAACGAATATAGTCCGACTGGTACTCCTTGATATTAGCACTACCGCAAATGGTCACGCGCGGAAGATAATATTGTTTGTTTACGTTGCGTATAGCGTTATAACGACCTTTATAATATATATTTATGACTTGTATTGGACTTTAAATTTGAAAAAAAGAAAATGTATGTATACTAAGAAGAACTCAATAAGGCTTAGCTTAGAATTGAATAAATTAGGTACATGTTCTATTATGCACTATTGACATCACTAGATTTTAACAGTGTATAGAAAATTGTACGAAATCCTGTTCCCTATAGCACTATTGTAGGTTATCTTATCTTATACTAATATTATAAATGTGAAAGTTTAGATGGTTGGAAGATGGATGGATGTCTGTTAAAGTTTTTAGCCTAAACAACTTGATGGATTTTGATAAAATTCGGCACACACACATACACAAAAACACACTCACACACACACCTACACACACTCACACATAACACTCAATAACGCTATCACACAAAAAAAAATGTATGTAATTTTCTTTTCCTTTGTTTTTTTTTATTTGTCATTTTTATAACAAGTAAATTAAATGTTTAATGTCTTTATTTGTTTTTTATGTTTAGACACTTATGAATATGTATTGCTCTTCACAAATGGGGAAAGGTATTGGCTCCTGCAGCACAGGGGAACCTAGTGCAGGAGCCAAGGCTCTCATGAAATGTGTATATTTTTAAAGTGAAATAATAAAGGATTTATTTATTTATTTATTTAATGTAGAGGACAGTCTGGAAAAACACATAGGCTATTCACTTTTGTTTTTTTTTATTTCATGTGGATGTTGTCGCGGGCGAAAGCTGGTATAAAATATTAAGCAAACTAGGACCAAACATTCAGACTGTTACAATGTTGTATGAGTTTTAATAATAATTTATTATGAAAATGAAAGGTTAATTGACGGACAATGGTCTTTTCCATACGATCAAAGTTAAATGACTAGTTGTTGGTACACTATTTCAAAGTATGTGACAGCAATGTATGTTTGTACAAGATTTAATCTTGGTTTGCCACAAAATAATAACTTATAAATAAAACATACCTTTAGCAATATCAAGACGCATCATAGATACTTGGTCATAAAGTGCAGCACAAATCCAGGTTAACATCAGAAGCCACAGTAAAAGGGTGCCCCGCACAGCCCATTTCAAAGCACACTGCACCTCCGCACCAACATTTGGTTCCTTTGGCGGGGCAGTACGATTTCTCTCTTTCCTGGAACACAATAACTTGATAAAAAGATTGCTGTAAACATTTTTACTTTACCTTTTAATTGAGCATATACATATCGACAGGTGAAAAGCTATTTGTTTTAACCACCATTTTAGGCGATAATGACTTACATGTATATATCCAGAATTGGTGTTTTTTCTATGTGGTTAATAAATAATGAAGTATGCAGAATTATATTAATTTCAATCAAAAACCCGTCTGAAAATCTTTCAATTTAAATTATTTTCAGAATTCGTTTTTATGCTTTTTTTTTAACCAGTGGCACTTAAAACAAATAGCCTTTCACCCATCGATATTTACATTGTTGATCAATATAGTATTGGGAACTATATTTTAAAGACACAGGTGTGCAACAAAATAATTATAATAATGATGAATAAAAGTAACCTTGTTATTTTCTTTTTCCGGTTTGGTATTATTTCTAACTGCAAATCCTCCGATTCTTCATCACTAGAAAGGTCCAAAAGTCGAAAGTTTTCTTTATTAACTTTAGATGGCAAAGACATTTTGTGTATTCATTCACGAACATGCCTCTTACAACTACGATAAGGTAAATTAATTAAAGAACGCTGTTCTATTCTCGTACATATGTAAAAAAATTATCAGACAAATATGTAAAGTAAAAAGGTTATACTTTAAAATATCAAAACAAAGTAAAGATGTTTCAATTTTCACTCATATGGATGTAATTATTACGCTAATATTGCTTTAATTTAAAGATAATGTGTACGAAGAATAGATTGACCGTAAACATAAATTTAATACGCAAAGATTTTTACTGTTTTAATAAATTACACATTAATTTCAGTATGTTCAAAAGTATCACAAATTCACAATTGATAATAAATCTTTTGAAAATGATTATTTTACGACGTTTCCTTATCTGTGGATAAGGCAAGGAGTAAAAAACAGACTGTGAATAAATTTAAAATATTTTGAAGATTATGTTAGTCAATTTGAATTATTTCTAGTTATTGCACACATTAAACAACTAAAATAATACGATTGGTCTTCAACATTTTGATGATACCTTATTCATATAAAAATCTATAGAATGTGGCCACCATCCCTGAGAAAATGTAGCTATTTTTGTTATTCTTTGGCCACTATCTACCATTGTTGTCACTGTCATCGTCAAAATGAAATCTCTTATCAAATGTCAATTGTTATTATGATTCAAGTCTGATATTCACGTTCTTTTTCCATTTTCTGTTGTTTTATAACAAGATATCCTAATAGATATGATACGTCGTTACTGTTAATAATTATAACGATTTGAAATTACAGGATTAACATATTTCATGCATTGATACACAATACATAATGAGAGAGAAATGGCATTTTATTTTTTACCTTTTATGGTTTTCTTATCTGATTATCGCAGCAGTTCTTATGTTCGGGCACGGTTTCTTGTTATCTAGAAAAGCCTTGAGTGATGTAACAGAATGTAGTCCTCTCAGTCAGATAAGCTGTGAAGAAGGTGGTATGCTAAGTAAAGATATTTGCAATGATGAATTTAAAATTAGGCAAGTGTCTTCTAATCTTGGTGCGCTATTGGCGTGCGCCCCTAAGCGCAATAGGGTAGTTTTAATTCTTGTTGATGCCCTAAGATATGACTTTACTGAATATGACGAGAGAATAGAGAAGCCTCTTTATTATCAAAACCGACTACCAATTATACAGCAAACTTTAAAGCAACGCCCAGATCAGGCACGATTATATCGTTTCATGGCAGATCCACCCACGACTACTCTTCAACGAGTTAAAGCCTTAGTCACAGGCTCTTTACCTACTTTTGTTGAATCTAGTTCTAATTTTGCTGCTATGGAATTACAAGAGGACAACTTAATTGATCAGGTATTAATGATGGGTTTGCTTAGTTTATTGTAAATCTTGAAGCAACTTATATGATTTAATTATTTCTTTTAGGTGGTGATGAGTGGGGGTAAAGCAGTACTGCTTGGTGATGATACATGGTCTAGGCTGATGCCTAAAAGATGGCTGCGGTCACATGCTTTATATTCATTTCACACTTGGGACCTTGATACAGTAGACAATGGTAAGTATTTTACGGTTCTCATAAACCAGTGTGTTATAAAATGTATAATCCTAAGATTTCATTTTATACTAGCCGTTGCTCGCAACTTCGCCTACAAGACAGTAAAAAAACAAAAAAAAAAAACATATACTATGTTACTAACTGATAACATAGCTTTTTAATGGTGAAAGAATTTTTGAAATTGGCCTAGTAGTTTCTGAGTTATTTCAATACATACAAAAATCCAAATATTTAAATCTATAATATCAGTATAGATATGTTATGGTATTTTTTCTGATTTACTTTGAAGATCAACTTTAAATAAATGAAAATTAATTAACACTCCTATTTAGTATAGTAAAAATAACAAATTCGATTTACAGAAGTTGATTCCAAAATATATGATGAACTTAAGAAGAATGATTGGGACTTACTAGTGGCTCATTACCTTGGAGTGGACCACGCTGGACATAGATATGGTCCAAACCACCCAGAGATGGCAAGAAAGTTGAAGGAAACAAATATAAGATTGCAAAAAATTATTGAAATATTACCACCAGATGTATTGCTCTGTGTGATTGGTGACCATGGAATGACAGAATCAGGTATGCAATATATTTTGTACTAAAATTAAAATAACAAATTACAAAACTGGTTAATGTTAGTATGTTTGAAATATTTGAGTTGAATTCAAAGACATTTAAGAGATACATATATAGACTACCATAGGCAAAGTTAACATTGGCTATTCATTTAAATACAATTATATTGATATGTGGTTTTTAGGACCTATTGATAGATAGCATTAGTAAGGATCATGTGAAAAAGTCTCAAAAGTGTCAACTATGCTTCCTCTATTTATTTTTTTAATATCTTTGGTTTAATGGTTTAAGTTAATCATACATTGTGAATGTCTTCTTTGATTCATACTTTCAAACTGTTTTAGACTCACAAGAATGGAAAGATTTGGATGGTAGGTAATTGTAGTTGATTGAATTAAGCTTGTAGAACAGCTTCTATGCAACATGCTTTACAATTGTTCATATAATAACATCTTCTTCCTATTTGTGTGATTCTAAAGCATAAAAGCATGACTATTACTATTTAGTCTTGTTATATTTATAAATTGCATGTTATGATAGAAAATAATAAATAAATTATACAATGAAATATTATATACAATAAAATATCCTTTTACATTAATATGTTTTGTTAAATCTACTTGTATTAATTAACAAAACTGAAGGAAAGATGTTTTAATTAAATGTAATTAATTTAATTATTTAATTATAAATTAACTTTAATAAATGTGAAGATTATTTTGGAAAAAAAAATCTTATATGTTTTAAATTAATTGTTAAATATTCTCTTTGAAAAAAATAACCAAAGAAACTAATAGCTGCAATTGTAGGAGCCTACACATTTTCGTATAGAAATAAAACTATGATATGATGAATAATAGAATAGTGAATGATCTCTCCAATGAATGATTTTATTAGTTCACATAAATGTCATTCAGGTGACCATGGAGGTGAAAGTAGAGCGGAAAGGACGGCGGCAATGTTTGTGTACCGGGGCTCCGGTCTCGGTGATGAAGGTGAACTATCAGTGGGAAAGGAGGTGCAACAGACAGACTTAGCTCCCACCTTAAGCGCGGCTCTCGGACGCCCGCCACCAGCCCCCTCTCTAGGAAATATTTTATTCTCAGTATTACCGAAGATGTCGAAATCAATAACTTTACTACATCTTAGTAATAATTTAAAACAGGTAAGTTTTATTGGGAAATAGAAATATAGACCTTGTTGATCATTATATTGCCATTTTTTCAATTTGCAGGTTACTAAGTACCTTATAAGGTATGGTGAAGAATCTCAACAAGTATCATTAGATAAATTAGCGCATCTGATCAATGCTACAAGGGACCAAATAGAAAAAGCTGCCACTATTGAAACAGATATTGACCTAAAGAACTACATTTCTGATGTTAGGTATGTATTCATTGTCTACTTGATTGAATAAATCTAGATAGTTTCTTACATATAATATGACCTTTGTGACAATTAAAGATTGTTTGTTACAGGAACTTAATGGAGAATATCAGAAGTACATTTAGAGAAGTGTGGGTGGAATTTGATTCCCTGTCGATGCTTAGAGCACTCCTGTTGCTCTTGTTAGCTATTTTCTTCAATTGGCTCGTCACAGAAGGTGTTCCTTTCGAGCGTATATCTAATATATTCGCCAGTTCGTTCGTACCGACCGGTCTAATATCGTTGGCGGTCTGTACTACTGTTTGTTACACCGCCTATTATTTCAGTTATCTCGAAGGTCTCGAACATTCAATAATTTTGAGCACCGGCTTAATGTCCGGTGGTTTGACTGGTGTGCTGGTTATTATGCATTGGGATGGGATCACACAGCGTTGGTACGAAGGCAGGTCGAGGTTCTATGAGAGGTTCTCGAGAGCCGCTTTAGTCGCGTCCGCTGTTATTCTAGTTTCGAACAGTTATGTGATCGAAGAGGGCGCTAGTTTATCGTATTTGGCTTTGTCTGCACTGGCACTTATCGCTTGGAATATTGGTAATGTGAAAGCGGTGGTGTGTTGGGCGCTTTGTGGGGTCACTTTAACTCTGAGTAGGTCGTACCGTGGTTGTAGGGAGGAGCAGGGGGAGTGCTGGACGGCGGGGGAGGGAGCGCCGACGGGGCAGGCATCGCGTGCGGCGTTGGTGCTGGCGTTGGGTTCGGTAGCGGCCACGATCTCTATCACCCGGCGGCATGTCGGCTGGAGGGGCTACGGTATCACTCTAGGAGGCGTGTTGGTTTGCGCACATTGGGCCGTTGGGTGGGGGGCGCTCGGGTCACCCGTACAGTCAAAGCTAATGGCGAAGATGTCTTGGCTGGTTATAGTCGTGATGTTTATATTATTGTGGAAGAGAGATGGGCGCGGTGCTACAATGCCCCTGGTGGTACTAGGTTTAGTGTTATATCTGGCTAATGTGCTGGTGCTGGGTGCCAGTTACGCTCCCGCAGCCGCTTTGGCTCTTCTTTCTGGTTTCCTGACTCTGAATATTGTTTCGTGGTTGAAGACGGATAGTTCATCCAAATTCTGTAAGTTACCTTTACCTTTATTATTTACTTGTTATAATTTATTTTCTGTATTCTAATGTATTGTTTTCAGCATTAAGTTCTCGTTGCAACTCGTGCGTGGCATGTGTGTGGGCTCTGTTGGCCTGTTACAATTTCTACGGTACGGGTCACCACGCTACGCTGGGACATATCAGTTGGGCGCCCGTGTTCCACGCCGGAGACCCCAATTACATATCAATTGGTCCGCTCGTAACCGTTATACTGACATCACTTCATCTCTTTGGTAAGGATTATGACTCAATTTCAATACAACTTTGAAAACAAGAGAATCTTGAATATTGGCCTAATATTTTTGAAGCCCTCACGCGGTGTCTCCCCCTTCTTTTATTACATCACTATGTCTAAAATTGTGTTTATCATATGTATGTGTTTTTAAATGGGGTGTTTAAAAATATAATACCATGTGTTTACCATAGGGTGTTTAAAAATATAATACCATACATTACCTACTGTTTTTAGGTATGCCGTTTATGTTTGGTGCCACGGTGCCGCTGCTCCTCCTGTGGGGTCGTAACGGTATCTCCAATTTGGGATCTCGTACTCAAATGGCTGCTGTATTTTCTTTATGTCTTAAATTTGCGCTTTGCTTCGCAATTAGGGTAAGTGCTTCTAAATGTGTTTAAACACCACTTACGCCTTTATAGCGATTAGGTGACATTGAATGTTTGTTCATCGAAAGTATAGCTGTTGCTCGCGACTTCGTGCGCGTAGAATTAAAATAAATATATATGTACCCTAAGTTACTCAGTGATAACGTAATTTTTTAATGATGAACTTTTAAAATTGGTCCAAACGTTTTTGAGTTGTTTTAATACATACAAATCTTTCCTCTTGATAATATTAAACACTCGCTGTTGCTCGCTACTTTTTCCACGTTAAATAAAAAAAAATGTAGTCTATGAAAGAATGCTTTGAATCGGCCCTGTAGTTTTAGAGTTTTGTCAATACGTACAAAAATACAAATCTTTCCTCTTTATAATATATTTTTAAGTAAAGGTTAGTACAGATAAACATTTTTTAGGTGTTCGTGTGCGCGTTATCAGCAACTATTCACTGCCGTCACCTTATGATATGGGGTGTGTTTACTCCGAAATTGTTGTTCGAATTCGGCGCGTGCGCAGCTGCCTTCCTCGGCACGGCGCTCGGCGCCGCGCTCACCGCCTACCACTTACCACCACAGCAACGTAGCAGTTGACAAAAACGCAACAAATAGATACATTAATTATTGATTTTTGGGACTGTTAACATAAATTAAAAATTAAATTTATTTTCTAGAATTCTAGACTATCGAGTTAATGCATTTTTGTTATTTTCAAGTATTATTTTATTTATTGGGAGATCCATTGCATTTTTTTGGTTATGTTTAAGCAAGAAAGCACTTACTTATTATAGATAGGATTAAACGTTACATAAAATAGTCTTTAATAATCTGTGTTCATAAATAATAGTTGTGTAAATTGAAAGAACTATACATAATTTGAATGTCTACCTCAGTCTAATAATTCAATGTGTTCTAGTATGAACACATAATGCTTTTTAACTTTGCTGGTTTGTAAGAGGATAGATTTTATGCCCTGCTCACATTACTCCAGTCCAGTGATTAAATCTAGCGATGGATACATTTTTTTTAAATTGGAATAATGTGGACTAGGTATAACAATTTTGTAAAAATCTGGTCTTTTAAAAATATATTCTAGATATAATTATCATAATAAAAATGTCCAATATATCTATAGATCACGTAGTTCGTTAATAAGATTTGGAAGTTATGTATTAGTTTTTACTACCAAAAATTGTTAGGCTTGAAAATTTTTATACTTTTGCTCATGTTGTTTTTTACTTTTTATAAATTTAATATAAATAAATTTGATAATTGTTAAAATTACAATATTGATGAATACTGCAATTCTGTTTTTGACCAACCAGTATTAATAAATTGGAATATGAATAATTTAATGAGTATTTTGTAAATCCTTGTAAAAATTATTAAATAAAAAAAAAGCTTTAGGCGGAGTGATCAAATAAAATATAACTAAGGCTGCTACAAGCCAAATGTTTTCACTGGAATATTTAAATAAAACAAAATGTTGAAACATTATTTAATTACAGTAAATATGGAATATATTACATTTATTAAAATTTTCGGTATAATACTATAACTGCCGATGTGTTGATTGTAAATTACATTACAAAATAACGGGAATAATCAGCAAGGAATATGTTTGTATCAGGATACCATACTGTCTAAAATCATGTCTATAGATTAATTTAAAAATATCCTTTAAACCCAGGCACCTAAGTATTAAACTAGAAAATCTATAATTTTATGACATTAAATATATGTGATAAGTATACAATAAAAATAGATACTTTACACATAGCGTTGCAAATTTAAATTTTTCAGGAAATATTCAAGTTGGTCACTTGAATGTATAAAATACTATTCTGTAACATATGTACACTGCTATAAGCGATTATGTAAATATTTGATGATATACCACAATTGTGAATTCCAGTTTATGATAGCTTATTCAAAACAAACAATATTTAAGGTCCTGTTGGAGGCACATATGGTTTAAGCAGATGTTCCGAGAAGGAATGAACAGCCGCTGCACCCCTAACTTCCTTATCCAGTAAAGGTAATTTAGTTACATGGAAATCTTCATATAAATCTGTAATTTGCTCTAAATATTTCTCCTGTACTTTATGCCTCGCTGCGCATAGCTCACATGGAGCTGAAGTTCGCAGTAGCAACTGATTTACTATAATATTATGCGTATCAATACCACAACGTGTAAGTTCTTGCACCAAACGTTCAGTTTCGTACAGTGACAAAAACTCTGCTATACAAACGCAGACGAACGTAGTCTGATTAGGATCCTTGAACTGGGCATTCACTTGACGTATTATAGACAACATTTCGTCCATTTTGTTGCTAAACATGTCTGCGTTTAATTCCGCAAGACCAAATAATGTTGCAGCCTGGTTCATAAATGGGGCAACCTGTGAAAGAAAACACACATCAAAGTAACATGAATAAGGTTTTAGGTTTAAATTGTCTTTGTTCTTACTAAATTAATGTTAATTTACCTTAGATTTTAGTCTCATCAATTTACCGAGACCTTTCTCTACAACTTGCGGAAATGAAAGGAGACGCAATGTGTGTCCTGTAGGAGCAGTATCAAATACTACAGCACTGAAGTTCATTCCCTTCACTAGTTTCATAACCTGAAAATAATTATCATTATCTTCCCATCACATAGGATTGGTGCACCAGGTTTTCATTGTTTAGGTTATACTATTATCCCTTATCTCATTTGTCACTTTTGTTGATTTGTTTTTTTACATCAAAAGAGTTGCAAATGAGCAAGTGGCCACCTGCAACATCCGCTGCTCATAGCCATCCACAATAAAAGAGTTACAGACCCCTTGCATGCCCTTTATTGCCAGAGGAAATGTACATTAAAGGAATATTTCCTTCCTCGTTTCAGTCTCCTCCGCCATTAAATCCACTTTGCCTTCCCATACTTCATTTGTAAGAAAATGGTAACAATGGAAAGAGTCAGCCAGTTAACAGTGGTAGTGCCCGCTTTAACATCTTAGCACGAATGGGCCGGCACGCCCGGTGTAATACCACGACCACACAGAAAACAGGCGTGAAATGGAAGCAATTCCGTGTTTCGTCTGATGAGTGTGGTGCCGGAGGCCTAATATAAGTCCCTTTCTCTTTACCACCCTTTTCTTATAAGGAGAGGTTGGGAAGAGGAAGTGGATTTTACGGTGGAGGAGATGCATAGGAAGGAGAAATAACCTCTTTATGTGCGTCTCCTCCTCCGTCGTATAAGGGTAGGCAACGCATCTATAATTGCAGATGTCTATGGGCAGCGGTTGCTTCGCCATTTTGGCGGTTATAGGTGGCCGATTGCTCGTTTGCCACCTTATGTTATAAAAAAAAAAAGTCAATATTAGTCCTCTAGCATGAACATTTCATGAAATCCATTAGTACCCCTCATCCAGTGTACCCAGTATACCCCTCCAGACTCATAACTAAAGTTCTTAAATTACAAAAGACATAATGTAAATATATTACAATCCAATCATACAGATAAGTAATGAGTCACCTTTATTATCAAATACTTGTAAACTAAATAAAATTAATAGTAATATATAATGATAACCTAAAATATGTTATACCGCTGACTTGATTTGTCCCATAACAATTGAAAAATATATTGGCATAGAATGTGTTAATACAAGTTTAAATAATACATTAAGAAATATCACCTCAGCATAACTCATAGCTTCATCAATACCCGGGAAAGCTCCGACTATCTCTTGCATCACACCTTTACCAAGCTTCATAGCCTCAGTTTCACCTTCAAAATACTCCTCTGGTAATTCCGTTAATCCCACATTAGGATCAATTTCCATTGCAAATAAATTGTCGAAGCCTTTCACTTTGGTTGGTACCTGTTACATTCAATTTTTTTAATAATTGCGTAAAGAAATTTGAAATAACCTGATTTACTGCAGCATTTTGTAAATAAGGTACCTTTGAAAACTTTTGGTCAAATGCATCTGAAATATTATGTGCTGGATCAGTTGAAATAATTAGCACGGACTCTCGAACCTTGGACAATTGAACGGCTAGACTACAACTGCAAATAAAAACGTTTTATTTAGTTGCTACAATTATCTTATTGCTACTTTGGTTATACATATTAACACTTGCCTGCACGTCGTTTTTCCTACGCCACCTTTTCCACCAACAAATATCCATCGCAATGATTTTTGATCTATTATGTTGCGCAAAGACGGCTCTAGAGGTTCCAAATCTTTAACGTCTTCCATAATAAATATTTATAATTTAAGAGCACTAATAAAAAGATTTTGTATTTATGGTAAATATGTCGCGTCACGTCAAATCAAAATCAGTCAAAATCGCGAACTGAACTGAAACTGAAATTGAATGACTGAATGACTCGTGAGTCATAATCATGAATGAAAAGGAAAAGTGCAAGTATTTTACAAGACAAGTTTTTTGCATCGGAACTAAAGTACAGTCGTCAACAGCAGTTTTTTTTATCATAAAATCAGTTTTTGTGATTTTTATACAAAAGGAAAATCCTAATGATGATTATAATAAAGACAATTATTCTAGTGTTGCATGAAGCATTTCCACGCAAGTCTATTATGTATTAGTCGCCGTGGATTGGATTAAAGGTCTCGTAACTAGACCATAAATCTTTGAAAAATCAATATAAACCATAGTTTTAATACAAAACTGTCAAATTAATCTGTCAGTTTGCCAATGTTTTATCCAGTTTTATCGTTCAATGTATATTATAGCAATTAATAATTATTATGAATAAAATGTCTAAGTATTTTTACAGCAACAATGTTCTTTCGATTTATGCGCGGTCGCTTTACCTTCAAAATTTATTTCCTATTGACTATAATCGCATTACTTACAATTTTTGCGTATTTGTTTCCCCATTTTAAATTTTATCCTATTGCACCAGTTACTGTCCCTCCCAATGGTTTACAATCGAGAACGACTCGACATTTGTCTAAACTATTGACTGTGGTATTTCGTCAATTTGAGGAGTTTGAAAATGATATCGCGGACAGTGTACAATCTTTCGTTTCAGCATTCCCTAACATGCCTGTGGTCATATTATGCCAAGGTCTGCAGTATCCACCCTTTCAGTTCTCAGCTACGAATGAAACATTGCGTAATGTCAAGATTGTTCCTTTAGAATTTCGTTTAAATGCATTGCCACATGAACTAAATCCTTTGACTTATTTAAATACTGAATATGTGCTAATTGTTCCTGACTCGACTAGAGTGTCTCGTCGTGTACTACAACAGATGGCTACAGCCGCCACAACCTTTCCTTCTCAGGGTATAGCTGTAGGTGTAACTAATTCTCGGTTAATTTGCCAGAAAGTAAAGTGGAATTATGTTGATTGGACATTACAATATAGTAAGGATCCATCTGGAAAACTTTGCGATGCAATACATGGCCAGCATGCTCTTTTGATAAAAACATCTCTTTTGCAAACTTTCCCTCAGCCATTTGCATTCCCTTTCCCAGAATCTTTGTATCTGCAATCAACTGTAAGAAAAATAAAGGTAATTATCACAAAATGTGTAAGAAACCCTGTGTCTTATAGTAGCCAATAGTAAATACTTAATTCAAATAAGATTTATTCATAAGACCTCATATAATTTTCAGATTCAAATCGTTGATGGCAAATTTGGTGCGGGTAGAAGTGTCCTAAAATCTCCAGCAGCTAAACAAAAAGCTTCAAAACTTGCGCGAGATGCAAGGATAAGTCTTTATAAACAACTTGGTGTGAAAATGGTGGTCAGAGAGGACAGTAGAGTGCAGTGGTTTGGTTGTAAAAGGGATACACAGGTATGTAAATAGACAAAAACAAGAGCTATTTCTACTTGAAACACAAAAGCAATTATGTTAATTATTAATTAATTATCCTTCTATACTAATTAAACTATAAAAGCAAATATCATTTTTTGCAACAACAACTAGCGTAATTGTTTTAGTAATTACTATAAATTGTTAATTACAGCGATGTTTCCCGTCAGTACAAGGGACACCATCGTACATACTGTCAGGACGGAACACCCCGCCTTGCTGTCGCAGGAACATCCGTAGAACAGCTGCGCATGTGTTACGCACTTTGCAGCTAGCGGGCGCTCGTTGTTGGCTTGAAACTACATCTTTATTGGGCGCTGTTGTAAGGTATACTAAGATATATATTCTCACTAAATGGCTTAACCCTTAAATGCACGATTGTTTCGTTTTAAATACAATAAATTGAAATGGGTAGTAAATTGAACATAGATCAAGAGAAAAATAAATAAAAAAACTGATTCCTCAAAATAATCTATTGCGTAAGGAAGAAATTTAAGCTGGCTCTACCAGCTTAAACATCTTTGCTCGAATGGGCCGATAATTAACAGTACATACAAAACATACAAATACAATTATTTGTGGCTTTATTCAATTTTAAGAAAAGCATTTGACACTTTTTTAATAATTTGAATTTGTAATTCCAGAAGTGATATTCTTCCATGGGCAGAATATGCAGAAATAGGCATCCACGCGTCAGATGTTCCTCGTGTGTCGTTGTTGCAAAGGGGAGGAGCGGATTCTGAAGGTTTTATATGGGAAAGAGCAACCAAAGGTCATTACTACAGAGTGGGGTATTCAGCAACGAATAACATTTATGCGTTGGTGTTGCCTTTTACTGCGAAGAATGGTACAATGTGGCCTGCGGATTGGGTCATGGCTCATCAGAAGGAATTCCCTGAAAGACATCTACATCCACTTGCGCAGGTAAGTCTAGTGGTCTTCTAAATTGAGAATTTGAGGCGACTATGTGATCTTAACTAACCCTTAAATTGATTGTCGAGTGATGAACAAATAATTAAAAAACTACTGAACTAGTTTAGAGAAAAATATGTGAGATTCTAATTTTAACATGTAATGTTTTTGCTACAAAAAACTCCGTCGAATTAATTTCTTTGGTCCAGTGTGTTTTTAAATTTTTAACTTCACATATCTTTTAATATCTTCGTAAATATGCTATGCTATGCTAACCAAGCATCATCATTTGTTTCCACTGTGTAAAATGTCTGATAAATGTACATATAAAATGCTGTACATTATAGGACATAGTGAAGATCTAACCTAGGATTCACAATTTAAACTCAAGGTCGACACCCTATGTTAAAGGCTAGATCTAAGAGGGTTGCTATTAATATTTTTTTTTATTCGGGGCCAATTTTCTTCCAAAGGAAAAGATCCTTACTTGTCAGATCAATAATTTAAAAAATATTGAACTGAAAGTAGTTTTTGAGTTATTTTTTGAGACACTGGGAAGTAATAATTCTTAGTATTTTGAAAAAGTTTATGTATCTGTTTTACATTATTTCAATTTTCGTAGTGATTGAGAGAGTGAGAGAGAGAGAGAATAAGTAGTGCTCATAATACATAATAATTTACAGATTCAGTTCGGTGGTCGTCAAGCGCCTGCGCCTAACGACGCTCGTGCATTTTTGGATTTAAAAATTGGCAACTCCGCAGTCGAGAAATGTAACAAACTAGGTCCAAAGTTACTCTATCCATAACATTCTGGATAAAAACTTTTTTAGAATTATTATAAACTTTATGTACCTGTTCTATTTTACATAGCATATAAATGCTCATATATTTGTATTTATTGTATAAACTATTTGAATAGATGTTAAAATTCATATGTTTGAGCTTTGGGCAAAAATAATATTTATATGAAAATGTAGAGTATTTCTCTATATTTTAAGCTTGTCTTTGAAATTAAAATTCAGTATGTTTTTGAATTGTGTCCAAATCCAATCAAATTAAAAGCTATTCATTATTGTAGTATCTTATAATATTTATTTTTTACATTAGGCTTTGACTTGCTTTAAGCTAAAAAAAAAATTCCGCAGCTTGTTACTAGACATTTTTTCAGAGTGTAAGCCCATTACGTACCTTCAGTTTTTATTGAACAATCGAATTGTACAGTTAAAACTGTCTGTTGTATAACTGTAAAGTTTAATTGACAGTTATTTTTTTCTATACTTTCTTTTAGACTGTACAATTGAAATTGTGCAGTTAAAACTGACTGTGTAGAGGGTTTTAGTGTAATTGTTAAAGCACAAATTAATATTTAACTGCTTTCTTATTCCTACAATATGTAAGTTTGATTTTATTCCTATTTTAGAATAGAATTTCAAAGATCTCATAATCTAGTCTTCTAGTGAAGTATTTTAGTTAATAAGATTAATTCCGTAGGTTTTCATTGACGATGGACATGTTTACAAACATGTTTTTGTACATGTTTCGCCAATGGAAACATACGGATAGTTTATAAGCAATACGGTCATTGAAAATGACATGTTTTGTTTTCAAGAGTTTATATAGACAGATATTTTAAAATAATGAACTTAATGTATTTTACATATAAAATTATAGATTATTTTTACATAATCTTAACCTCTTTTTTTTTGTTTTTTTTAATATTAGGTATTGTTGTGTTTTGAGCAATATGTTTTTAAAATTTTTGTTTGACGGATTATCATGATGAATACTGTATCTTAAGTATTTTTGTTTATTTTAAGTAAATAATGTATCAGTTAAACTTTTTTTTAATATAAAGCCTTTTGTGACTTGTACCAAACAATTACATAATTACATAGGCATAGTTTTATTCCTAAATACTTCCTATGCATTTTCTATATACATAAGTATGAATTGTGCAATATGATTTAAATGCTTTATTAGATAAATAAAACAATGCTATAAAAAACAAAATGTTTTATTTTAATTAAATATGAAATGTTAACATTATTAAATATTAATCATCTTCAAACTTTTCGTCGACAACTCCAGGTGTGAACGGCGGGTCTCTAACTAGAGTCAAAAGTTTGTCTAGTTTCATTATCTGTAACGTTAGAGTGAGTAAGAACATATCGCCTTTCTTTTCATTTTGAGCAGAGACAATATTTTTAATACAAGCAGTTCGGTAGAGGAAAGCCACGATTAGTAATTCTGTTCTTTTGTAATCAAATAAATATTTATCAGTTTAATTTTATTATTAACTTAAATTTTGTTAATAATATTTGTTTTTAAAAGTCACTTATTTTGGTTAGTCATCGTCTTGACATTGTGAATCAGCGCCATCTTTGATAACATTTAGGAAACAATCAAAATAAGTGGTTTTCAAATGTATTTGAAAATAAATTGTTTCCTTATTTTACACACGTTTTAAAAATCATGTAAATTATCATAAAAAAAGTTCGCTGCTTCTAAACCCGTAAAATAAAAACGGATAAATTATTGTTACGTTACCTGCAAAGTCCTTTGGTCAGTAGTAAGAGCTTTCTTTGGTGGTTTTACCATAACCCGCAAATTAGGCGACAATTTTAGTACATGACACGTGCCCCTGAAAAAAACAACAAAAAGATGATCATACTCAATTGCCCCCAGAGAGATTTGAACTCTCGACCCCTGGTTTACAAGACCAGTGCTCTAACCCCTGAGCTATGGAGGCTTGTGAAAGTAAGTTAAAATACTATGACAGTATTTAATATCAAGATGTCGATATGAATTTTTTAAATATTTTTTTACATAAAAATCTCTTACTTGGTATCGCCGCATACAATAACGGGTAGTTTCGGATTAAAATCAAGCCTCGTCAATTTCTTTGTCTTCTTCGATACGACAGCTTGCACGCAAATCGGTCGGTATTTATTCACATTCAGATCGAATACGTACACCTGCACAAATAGAGTTTTTATATTTTTATTTTAAAAACAAGAACCGGCTTAAGTACATTGTAACAGATGGGCATGCATAATGAAAGTTCATGGTCGGCCAATTACTTCACATGACTTACTCTGACTCCTTTGGATGTAAATACATAGCAATAAACTGACTCTAAAGGACTCTGACCTAACAAAACCATCAGCATCTAGAGACAAGTAAGAATAATTAACACCGCTGTACAATTTAGAACATTTATTTATTTGTTTTTCGATTCGCATTTAACAACAACCATATTTCTTACTAATATTACGAATGCGGCGAAAGTTTAGATAAAAGTTTGTTTGTACAAGTTTGTAACCTAAACTGCTGAACGGATCTCGATGAAATTTGGCATGGATTTAGAGGATAGTCTGGAGAACACATAGGCTACTTCTATTTGTTATGATTACCACGCGGACGGCGTCGTTGGCGAAAGAAAGTAACATTATATTTAATAAAATACCTTCCCGTCGGCGGTGCATGCAGCGAACACAGTGCTGGAGTATGGCGCCCATTTGACGTCACCCACCGGCGAACCCAACTCGAACATGAAGAGCGGCTCCCTACCGTAATCATTACCATATTATTATATAGAAATAATAGAAATACGCCAGTAAGCATCATAGGCGACGCCACTATGATCCAGGTTATCATCATCCACTTGCCTTTATCCCTTATGGAGGGTCGGCACAGTATGTGCTGCTCTTCCATACATCTCTATCAGCCGTCATATCTGACGATCGACGATCCACTCCTTCCTTAAGCATATCCTCTTTCACACGATCCATCCATACTTTCTTCGGTCTTCCTCTTCCTTTGTAGCCATCCACATTCACTCTTAACACTTTCTGGTTTATGTCCCCATCATTTCGTCGCATAACATGTCCATACCACGCTAACCTATCAAATTCCGGTGAAAAACACGAAATTACGATTCAATGATATTTCGATATGAAATTCATGCAAGCTGTTAGAGGTCAAAATGGATGCGCTATGTATTGACTTTTATTAATATTGCATTTAACATTGTAGCCACAATGTTTTTGTTTTCGGAAATACGTGTAACGAGTAAAGATCAACGGAGTGTTAATTTTGTTGGGAACGCGCCAGTTAATGTATCCTTTTGAAGTATCATTCATTCACTTCTATCGCCCTGCGAATATGCACATGGAAAATGCACACTTGATGAAAATAATGAACAAATAGATTTTAAAATGACAGTGACAAAACAAGTTGATCATACTCGCGGCCGTCCTCCCATATCTTGACTCTCCAATCTCCTGAGCAGGATGCGTAAATGGTGTTGTTGAAGTAATTATAGTTGATGCGGTAAACGGGCATGTGATGCGCCTGGCAGGTGCGCACGTAGCTGCGGTTGTATTTAAGCGAGCAGGTATGGATCGCGCCGTCTTCAGTGCCCACCAGAAAGATATCTGCCTTCTCCGGGTGGAAGCAGATACTGCTGCCGCAACCTAATTGTATGTACAACTTTAGTAACAAGTGTAATTCATCCTATGAGTTCAAAGTTTATAAGATCGCGACCGTTTTTAAAAGAAGTCGCGACGTTCTCAGTTCGCTTTTGGAGTGACGCTATGTGGGTAAAGTTAGCTAAATTGATTCAGCAATATTAGATTAGTGGGTTATAATAGTTACTAAGTAGTTGAAGTCTTACTATTAACAGCGATAAGTGTGCCGTCGGGTCCAGGTACTGGTGCCGCGGGCGCGCGCAATTCTATGATAGTGGTGGCGCGCAGCTCGCCTGGCATCACCGCCCACTGAACCACGCGCCCATCACCAGACACAGAGAAGAATGACGCTTCACCGTCAATCAACCGCTCCCCCCAACGAACCTGGCGTTAATTTACATTAGGATTGCAAATCTGTGATTCTTGTTCTACCACTTTATACTAGCTGTTGCCCGCGACTGCGTCCGCATGGTAAAAAACTATACTTAAATAAGACTCGAATTAAGATTAGACTTAAATAAAATTAAAAGCAACGACGAAGAATCTATATATATCTCCAAACATATAGAATTGCGAGAATGAATTGGAAACCGCAATCAGAATACTCACGCCGGCGCCGATTGAAAGCAAAGTAAATAAATCGCAATAATACAAAAGTCGGGGATGTGGTTTGCTCGGTCACCTATTACACCGCATCCTTGCCACAACTAAATGTGGTTTTTAACTAAAAAAAACTAGTTAGTATTACAGAATTCCTCCATACCAAGATATTTTAAAAATGATTTACTGAAAACGTATTTATGAAATCGTGGACCGACACGTTTCAACTTACCTCCCACACAATATTACTGTGCTTGTCCCGGACAGAATCCGACTTGTACTGATAGGAAGCCTCTAGGGTGAGCTGTGCGTTGTACACGCACACGTTTCCATCATAACAACCTGTAAAAAATCATCATAATTATCTACAAGTTGTGTATAATAGGTTAGAATATATATGATTGAATAAAGTTACGACTTTTATAGATATGTTTCGTGAATTTTACTTTCGAAAAGAGAAAGAAACTAATGACATCTTTGTCCTCACCAACACAGATGAGATAAGGCGTCTCCTTGTACACATCAATACAGATGATCGGCGACTCTGTGATAACCGCATACTCCGGGAACGCGGGGTTCTTGATGCTGTACAGGCACACGCATCCTTCCTTCTGCTGCTTGGTGAAGTCCACTGGAATGAATAATTAATGTACTAAAATAAATTTTAGAACTCTACACCTCTGTCTCCTTACATTATTATTGACTCTGAAACCAACTGCCACGCTCAGTTTCTCATTAATGGTAGTATACTATAAAATTTAAATCTTACAGGAGCCGTAAGCAACAGCGAACAAATCCTGATAGTGGGGGTTCCATTGCATGTCGCAGACGGCGTGGCTGCGCATCGGCTCGAACTGGACCCGCCATAGCGGCAGCAGCGAGCCCATGCCCTCGCGGAACTCGTCCGACGGATCATCCCAGTAACGGTAGTCTTGAGCTAAAGACGTAAGACTGTATCAACACATTTGCAAAAAGTACGAAGACGCCAATACGCTCCAGAATAATAAATCTACAATAACAAAATAGAACGAAAAGACATATAAAGAAAAGAACAAAAAAGTACCAAGACAATCAAGTAAATTTAGAGCAAATGCTAAGCATTAAGGACAATCTGATCTTAGGTGACCTAATAAACCTAATATATAATATAAATAATATTCGACATCCAAAGGGTTAAAGAAGATCTTTTCTCGTATAATTATAATTTCCTCACCGATGTCGTCGTAAATGTTCTGATTGACGAGGCGTTCGAGTATGGCCCACGCCTCGCGGATGCGCTGTGCCAACTGTTCGTCGTGGATTTGCTGAGCAGATTTCGCGTGCTTCTCTTTTTTCTTACGAAGCTGTGAAAACAAAAGAGATAACCTTATGAATCAACAGTTACTATCATTTAACGTAAAATTGAGTGCACAAGTTAGGAAAAATTACATTTAAAGGTTCCGTAAATAACAGTGCTATTAAAATCATGTATTAACTAATAAATACCCTTTTCGGTTTTTCTTCTTCTTTTTCACGCATCTTTCTTGCGTAATCCTCTTGGTAGAAGTCGAATATAATGCATTGTAGAGCGGTAGAGCCGAAGTTTGCTCTTGGCGGCGGGACTGTTTGTGTTTCGACAGACTAAAAACATTAAATAGTTCGTAATTTAACTGCTCAAAAATTAAAACTTAGCTGTATAGGTTTGTAATTCGATATTTTTTCAACTAGCGCGTATGTACATTGCTAGGGACATTGCAGAATTTCGGGAATCTAGAGTGAGAGTTTTGAACCCTGAATGAATGGTAACTTACGCGGCGAGGGAAGTTGTAAGTTAGAGCAGCTCGTTCGCAAAAGTTGAACTGGTTGGCCAGCTTCCTGACTCGCGGCTTTACCGCAATGACTTCTTCTTCCACGGCTGCCTCCTGTTCTATATACGTTTTTATAATGTTACAAATTGCGCTGTCATAATGTTGAATCTACTAATGTAGAAATATTTATTAAAATGGGTTCCATAGTTTTAAGTTTATTCGTTACAAACACAATTATTTACTCGTTATAATACTAGTATAGTTTAGCTATTGAGTAGTTGATTAGTTAGATTTAACTACGGTACGTTAAATGGTCAGTAGGGTACAAGAACCTTAAAATCAATAACATATGCAATCTTACTCTCTTCTGGTTCCGGTTCTTCGACTTCTTCTTGTACAGCTTCCTGTTCATCCTGCACATCTGGCTCTGGTGGAGCTTCTACTACTTCTGGAACTTCCTCTTCAGCTGCTACCTCCTCTGATGACATCAGCAGAACATTAAGAACAGAATATATCTTGTTTTAGACGACCGAATTCTAAACAGAATCTTGAACACTTTACTTCCTAAGAGCCGACTATAATCTGTTGGACCTCGAAAGTTTGTGGAATTTTTAAGCGTCTATGTTTGCATGTTTACGAGTATCATCTTAACCTTAACCTCCGCTAGAAGTGTCAGAATGTAAAACAACGGTTGTTGTTTGTGTACCGTGTCTATATGGTCAAAGGAAATGTATAATACCTTCTAGTTTAGCTTCTTCGACGGGCGGCTGTTCCGCTTCCGGTTCCTCTTCCTCTTCTTCTTCAGCAGCAGTTTTTTTAACTTTAGCACGTTTAGGACCCGCGTCATCAAAACCAACCATGCCTTAAATAAATAATTTAGTTTGTTAATTGATCCTTTTCGTCATTTAATTTGGTACGTCAGGAATAAGAGTTCATTTTTGCTGGACGTGCCAACTCAAGCTTCGGGTTCTATTTTTCATTTTCTTGGCATACTAGTGGGCACTTACGTTACCTTTCGTAGGCCCTAAATAAGTAGTTGGTTGGTATTAAAAAAAAATGTGGGCAGTAAACTAACAGAAAGTGCTTACCATATCCGGCAGCGATTTGTGCCTGTGCCTCATCAGAATCTTTTCGTATTGCGGTGCCTTGGTACACGTACAGTGGGTAGGCTTTCCCAAAAATCGGCATAGGCTTCGTAATGAACTTGCCTTGCCCGTAGTGATATGCCACCTCTACTGGTACCCATTGAGGATTTATTGTTGTTAATATACGACCTACTTCTTCTTCAAGTTCCTATAAAAATAAAAGAATTATCGGTGTAACGTACGCTGATTTATATTAAACCAAAATTAAATAATTATGTTGCTGGTAATTTAGAGTATTACTTATATAGCTATTCTTTTCAATTTCTAATACCTTGAAGTTAGGATAAGTTTTTATTAGTTTTAAAACATTTTTGTTGCAAAATTACAAACTACACATGCAGTCGTAGCCTGTTTCAATGCAAAAGAAAATACTCACAGCTTCCGGCACGAAGTCCTGATCATCTGGTTTGATGAGTACGCGTGGCTTGAGCCACTCCAATGCCTCATCGTCAGCGAGATTGGCCCGCGATTTAGACGCATCCTTCTGCTGTATTAGAAACAATAACAAATGTAAAAATTTGTTTTATCACAATAAAGAATAAATCTAAAGTGCCTACATCTAGACGTTGCAATGTCTTTGCGATGAGCAACTTTTCATCGTCCTTATTTAGAGCGCGCTTAACCATAGCTTTTAGCATTATTGTTTTTTTTTCTTAAAATAAAAGACGTAAGCACGAAAGCACAGGACCGCAGCAAAACAGGTACTGCTAAATCTAAAGTAAGTACTTCAGTGATTTACGAGAAAATATTCTAGACATTTGCATATTTATTTTGATGACAGGTCTTTATTGGCAAGAATCATGTAACAAGGCAGTAAATATTACGAGGCATTTTAACTAAGCGAAGCAAGCGTAAACAAATTATTAAAGGGCTGGTGCGTGCCGCAAGTTCTAACTAAATTCAATTACGCATCTCTTAACTTTACCGAATGTAATGAAGAATCAGGAGTACTCGATGTAGATTCAATCGACATTATTTAATTTTTAAAAAACATTATCGATGTTTTAGTGAAATTAAATAAATGGACAACTTTCTCTTTAGTTCCGAACAAAATCGTTTCAGAAACTGCACTGAATTGGTTTTAGAATTACCATTGTGTTAATGCAGTACGGATGGCGCGAAACTTTTCTAGTCACTAATAGTTTTAAATACTAGATACAAAAGCACATTGACGAAAAATGTATTTAGAAAAAGTTGCATTATTTTTCATTCAAAAATACGCGGTTACAAAAAGCGTTCAATTATTCTTTTAATTTCGATTACTATTAAGGAATAAGGAAAAAGTGTATTTCATGCAGAAAACGTCTACAAAACATCTATTTTTATGACTGGCAAAAATATTTCTTGCACATAGCAGCAACAACAGTCACATTGTATTCAAAAATGTCTTACCCAAGTTCTGATCTTTTTAACCGACAAAAAATAAGGAGGAGATACTCAATTATTTAATATATTTTAATAAAGATAATAATATTTTTCAATTTAATAATATTTTTTTGCTGACTATACCGTTACTTCCCGTAGCGAGCATGTCACCAAGCTCTAATTAGTACCCGTGTCTGGCGGTAGCTAGCACTGAGGCGACAGCAGGTAGTGACGTCACAGTACATTTAAATTAGCCCGACTTATCACAATCATTTGCTATTTTCTACCCGACCGTGATACACTATTTACGCTAAGACAAAGATGTGATCTATTGACGAATCGTTCTTCGGTCAATTAAAAAATGAAAAGTTACTCGACGTTGGGTAAGTTTGACTTTGAAATTTAATATTTTTAACATTCATTTAATTATGTAGGTACTATTATTTATTGATGTGGTTAAATATTTCAGATGTTTACTAATGAAAAATAATTCACAGTAAAATTATGGATAACCGTTGGTTTTCACTACCGAAACATCATAATATTCGAGTACAATAAATATACAGAAATGGATCATTCGCATCGGAAAGCAGTAAAGGAATTTATGATCGGTTTCCTGCTATAAGAACGTTAAAATCGCGTGACGTCACAACAATGCAAAGGCTTAGGGCAAAGGGCAAAGCAGATCGATGAGACAAGTCATTGCGACTATAACTAGGTTAGTAATTATTTGTTTTATAATTTGTTTGTAATATTATAAAGAGGAAACATTTGTATTCATGTATTGAACTCAAAAACTACTGGGCTGATTTTAAAAACTCTTTCACCGTTAGAAAGATAATTTATTTATGTGTAAAATAAGCTATATTTTTAATTGCACGCGGACAAAGTCGCAAGCAACAGCAAGTTTGTATGCTAAATTCTATTTAATTTTTTTATAACCTATAACATAGTTAACTAGAATTAAAGCCCTTTTGATGTTTATATCCATTTGGCATTTGCGCAAAATTAGTAATTAAAAATTAATAAATACAAGCCTATGTTAAATTGTTAGTTAAATTAGATTTGCCCAAAACTACGGATGAAAATGTACAGCGGTTATATACAGCAATAAAACACTTATATCCTAAAAACAACACAGGACAAACAGGGTCACGAAGCTTGGCTTCACCATATCAATCAAACCTGAAATTAAACAATTTGATATGCTCACGCCAATGCCAAAAAACAAAATGTCGACGAACACAAACAGATATTTACAATGCACTGCATACGATCGTGGTAAGCCTTTACTCACTCTAAACCGTTTCAGGATCAACCCTATTGATTTCTCCGTGGATTTGCTCCGCCAGATGTCTGGCAATCTAACTGGCTTACTCATTCCTTGTGGACTAGGGATGGGAATCTAAATAAGTTTATTATCAGAATATTAAAATTGAAACTATTCAATTTTTTGTCTTAAACAGACAAACAGCACAAATAAAACTTTTACACCAAAGAGCGCATGTTATGAAAACTGTAATTACCGCAATGCTAAATATCTACATACATATATAGTTATGTAGTTGCGCAAAATATTTGCCGTATGGATTTGATCATCAGTAGTTTGAAGTTAGTGTATCAAGATTGTTAAGTTAAACTTCAACGAAAGTCTTAATCCGATATAGCAAATAATATAATCTTTACTAAAATTGATTGAAGATTGAAAATACATAATTAAATATCTAAATTCCAAAACAAGGAAAATCAACATAGTTATATTAAGTTTATTTGTGATCGTATTCCTGTCAGTCTTAGTACTAATGTTGGTAAATATAAAAACATTTTCGTGTATCAATAATATTAAAAGTGATGAAATATAAGTTTATGGTGATTCCGTGAAGACAGAAGTGATAGGAAATGCAAAGTAAGTGTTATAGAGGGTGTTTCCTGTTGGGACGAAATGGTAAAATGTCAAATGGACATTTTACCATTTCGTCCTGGATGGAATTAGGCCTTTCGTCCCAACGGGAAACACCTATTCAAGAAGAGATTGTAAAAGATAATAGTAAGAGATCTACAGCGTGATCGTGTATTTAGTTTGACTGAAATTTCACAGCCCAAATACTTGTATTGAAACCCTTTGAAGTGTTCATGTTTAATTCACTTTTCTAAAGATTTATTGAAAGGGGTAATATCTATATCTAGTTATACTAATTGTAAAGAGAAAAACAATGTCTTTATATATACAAACTCCAAAACAGACCAAATTGAAAAATTATTCTGCTAACGTAAAACGAGTAGTTTTAGACGTAAGTGTTTTTTTTTTCAATTTGATAAAGTCGCGAGCAAATCCGTGAATTAATTACAAGTATTTGGACAAAGGTAACAGTCAGATATGAGTAACTATTACGTAATGTTTATTAATAAATGTATCTGTGTGATTGTGTAATGCGTTGCTGTGATTTGTTACAATATTACATAGAGATACAAGTAACTAAGTCATACACTTTGTATATTAAGTTATAACAAGTTTGGAAACGCCATTGATTTTTGAGAAAGAAGTAAGTAGTACCAATATGTAGTTTAATGAATTTAGCTATTTTTAAACATTTTTGGCATGATTTTTTTAGTAATTATGTAAATATTTGAATTTATTTCACTATCATCTTATTTTTTTTATAAAAATATTTTTGTCTACAATAAAATAAAGTTTCGTTTAATATTAAACAGAAATCGTACCTTCTTTGGAGCCATACTAAACTTCTAAATGTATCAAATTAGGCACATAATTGTGAAAAAATCGACAAATCTTGCATATAACTTCGTTTGAAAAAATTGATTCGGGTATTGTCAAAAGTATTTGACAAAATATCATTATTACGAATTAGTAGTGCGCGCGCAGATCTCGGTTGTCATGGTAACGGAGGGAGACTCCCCTAGGACCTTGGTTTTCATCCCGAGGAATAAAGCGTTCTCGTACGTCACGTCGCTCTATCGATATTAGTGATATCCGTCTCAAAATCATAATTATACCGTGATATTTGGACACATTTTAATGTAAGTAAACACTGTTTATAATCTATGCTTTTTATTAAATAATTTGCGATGTTAATTGTATCTGATTTCGTTTATTATTTGGTGGATAATGGAACTATTTTCTAAAGGTTATAAGCGATCGATCGTAAACGTCATACCGTTATCTAATACCGGTTAATACAGACATATGGCTAGTATTTGTTAGTGATAAGGTTTGATTCGACTATCATTGTTAACTCAGAATTATAAATTGACGTAAGAAAGTTATCAATACTCATCCAGTTTTTAACAGTAACGTTTTGAAATTCACCTCAATATGCATACGTTTAAGATTATAACAATCAGTTGTATACATTCTCAACATTCAACTATAACTATAACTTTAACGATAACCGGCAATTCGATGCAACTTACCCATAAAATTACAAGTAGTTAGTAATAATTTTAAAGCTTCTGTAAATTCTGTTTTAAATATAGGTAGTAGATCTACACCCAAATTAAATATTTTTAGCCGAATCATATGCAATATTAATACATATACTAATATGATAAGGTATTTTTGTATTTATTGGAATAACTCAAAATTACTGGTTCTATTTTAAAAATTCTTTCCCCATTAAAAATCTACGTTATCAATGAGTAACATAGGCTATATTTTTTATTTTCACGCGGACGAAGTCGCGAGCAACAGCTAGTCTTTTAAAATTATCGGGTTCACATATCTGCTTTTCGAAATTTTATGCTATGTTTTTAATTTACTAATATTGACTGGACAGTATAAGTTGTTAGTTACCAGATGTGAAGAGACACAAGAACATATTGTCATTTGTCAGTGTTAATATTTTTTTTTAATTACTTTCAGTAGAGGCTTGAGTGAATCTATCACATTGGCGGGTAACGTGGAGATTCGTGTAGGCCTGCTAGTACCGCTACAAATGGAGCGAGAGGACAGCGGCATCGACAGCGAGGACGCCGCCTGTATACCCGGCATGCGCTTACCCGGAGGAAACAATGTAACTATAGACACTTATGTATCATAAAGTGCGAAACAAATTTACTGGTGGCTCGTAAATTTGCATGTGATGATAGGAATAAAGAGGAGGGGAAATCCCCTGTGGGCCTAAAAAGCACTTGTTTGTAAAGACAAGTGCTTGTAGCTAACCTACAAGCAACCTAATGTAACGGCTGACTATAGACGTTAAAACAGCGTATGGAGCATATTGAATAAATTTAAAACAATTTCCAAAAACTTAAACTTTTATAAATGTAAATATATGAATTATTCTCGATTTTAGATAGTGGACTGGAGCAGCAGCGATGACGAATTTATTATTGGCGGTGAAAGAAATAATGCGGTATGAATATTGTTTGATTTTCATTAATTTTTATTAACGGCAAACTTTTTAAACACAAAAGAGACAATGTACAGCCATTGGCTGCATTGTTTGAAACAGGATGTGCTTAAGAAGGGAGTCAATTCAGATATAATGGCTGATAATAATTTATGACAATAACAAAGAACAGTACATACTGCGTAAATGGCGACAAGGGCCGGTAGATGGTGGTTGATAATGACATTACCATGCGCTGTACAATACAATATTAATAATAATTATTATTGTATAATTACAGAAGAACATGCAGGATGGTTGGGTGGATTTCGTCGGGATGGATTACCCAATGGTGCCGCTAGTGAGTCGGGACGTTACTATCGACTCTCAACATATCGGGTGCAGTAGTCCTGATAGTTCGTCTCCACTATACGAGGTCGAGCTCACCGCTTCGGATGAAGATGATGACACGTCCAATGTAGAAGTTGTAATACCAATTACTAATCAACAGCACAAGAAGGTATCGACTGGAGAATTACTACTACATATCTTCTATGACATACTATGCTGCCTCCCTAACCGCAGATCACTGTCGTAAATAGAATGTTGTTGACCTCATAGACAAAGTCACATGCGATTAGCACTGTAATAAATCGTAATGTAAAAATGCCAACATGTAAAGAAATAATTACGCGTTTAATACGTAATATATCGCATGTTCGTCACTTCTATATTTTCTACTTCTGTGGTTGCCTCGTTCATTGTAACATTGTCTATGGGAAGACTTTTCATAATGTATCTGCTTTGTCATTTTTAAAATATTTGCAACTAACATAAACATTCATTTTGTGTGCATGATTATTAATAACGTTAGTTTTTTAGAGCCTGTCCCACCAAATTGTAAATTGTCTGATAACAATCCAACGTGTAAAATATGTAATGGAAATATCGGATTTTGTTCCCTTATCTGTCGTAAATTTTAAGCTATCTGAGCTAGCTAGTATCAGCCAGCGGGGGGACAGGCTCTTAATCTCGTAATGTATTTTAGTAAATGTGCGAATATTTGTAAGTTTCAATTCAGTTGTAAAATCTAAATTTTATACCTTTTACGTGAGATTTATTTATAAATATTTTGCACTTTACTTTTGTAAAAGAATATGTCAGGGTACAGATTTTTAAATATTTCTAATACATTAGCTATTTATAACTAAATTAAATTACGTTTTCCTAAAAATTGACTCAAAAAAAAATTATTGAATCATTCTCGAATTTAACTATGGATTCTTATTCATCTTCTGTTGCTTTTTTTTGTTGGAATGTCAAAAAAACTTAAAAATGTTGTAATATGCCTGTGTCAAAAATATTTTGCTTATCGACAAAAATAATAGTTAAGGCCTAATTTCTAGAGACGATCGAATGGATAAGTTTTACGTTTTGTGATTAATATTAAAATCGTTGTACCAGTGTTCGTTTCAAAAGTGTTCAATGTTTAAAGCTACATACATTTATATACAAAGTTGAAACGCGGACTATCGTTGTAACGATAAGAAAATATAGAAGAATACTAAATATTATAGAGCTGGTTTCCTGTTTCTTGATATTCAGAATATACGTTAACATATTATATCTAGAAGATATTATAACTACTAAAATTGTAGACATTGTGTTCACAATTAAATTCAAAATGTATTAAGCCGAGCACAAAAAATGTAAACAGTATATTACATAAGAAATTACACAAGTTATTAACTTTAAAAATGTAAGCTTATAGTAAGAGGTTTAATTTTACATAACTGTCAAAAGAATATTTGTAAAAGACAACTTCAAATGTACTCATCACATCATTTTACATCAGATGAGACCATGGTCAAAGGAAGCTAAAGAAAATTTTATATTATTATTTTCATCTACGTAATTACAGTCAATTAGAAGTGTTGTCATAAGAAAGGAAGATAAATCATGTCAATGAGATTGTAAACTTTTATAATATGTATTATAACTAAGGATAATTTATAATCTATGACAATCTGGACGTATTTTATTGTGATTTTTAATTTTACAAGACTGAATTGGCCAAATTGATATAATCAATAAAATTTTATTTTTAATTAAAACTCTAAGCGCAATTTTTGCAATGAATGTATTGTTTTTTTTATGAATTTTTCAAATAGGACAATAGTATAAAAAGCTACATCTTGTATTTTTATTTTTTTTACGTCATGTATTCATTTTATAGTCTACTATTTATTTTATGTAGATTTAATTAAATGCATTTTACTGTACAGATTATTACTAAAAATGTTATTTGGAAATGCCATTTGATTAATTTAAAAAATTGCAATATTTAACGGCTTATAAATATTTTTCTATCCAACAAAAAATAATGTGAATGGAGGAATTAATAAAGACAATTATGTCTAAATGTAATTACGCATAAAATATAAATCTGTTACAATTATTATATAGAAATTATATGATTTTACATTATTTGGTAAATTTCGTTTTTATATTTCTGTTTATATACATTTATTTAAGAATACAGTCTACTAAAATATCTCTACCTCTGTAATGTAAAACAAAATGTTTCGCAATATTGTTATCTGTAAAATAAAAATATTTTTACATGTTGCAGTCATTAGCTAAATACTATATTCGTAAGTTTTTATATTATAAAATAAAAACAATAAGTTAAAAACAGCTCAACTTACTTATAATCTTTTGGTGACTGCACCACTAGTTTTGGAACTAACGGAGGCCCATCTTTAGGGAGAGTGCTAAATTTGTATTCTTCGCGGTCGAGTCACGCCTCGCACTAAAGATTTTATGTGCGTTGAGGGGTTTTTAATTCGTATTTGTTAATGTATTACGAAAGTGTAAACAATTTAATTATGGAAATATGATAATATCATACCAAAAGTATGTTTCTATATGTAATTTATTATTTTTGGTAAATGCAAGAGTAAATGAATATTTCCTCCTAAATAGTTTGTTTTTATTGACCCTAAACAAGCAATCGACTTGACCGACGCCTACGACGTTTTGTTTTAATTTTTTTACATGTGGCTAATGCAATCTTAGGCATATTACCTATAGTAATGCATATTTACTTCATGTTGCCTCTTGTAATTTAAGTAGACTATAGTAGTGCTACTCGACAACAGATGGCGTTAAAGTTAGAAACGACTTTTGTGTTTTTCTTAAATATAAACGCGCAAATTTCGTAAAGGTGAGAAGGTTTAAAGTTATTACTAAAAACAATGGGAATAATATGACATTAGCTATTAACTAATTTATGGTCGCTAATATTGACAAAATTGTGAACTAAACTGGTGAGTCATTTTCAGTACATTTATATTCTTACTAATGAGATTGTACAACATATACGAAATGAGTTACAAAATATTTTAATCCACTAATAGTTTTAGTTATGTTTGGACACTATGGCGTCACGGAGCTTACCTAACTCGGCACGGAAGCACGTTTGTCGCATTTTTATGAACTCGACATTTTTATATGAACATACTCTCAAAGGTCTTTCAACGATAAATCGATATGTTCCGTTACAATGGTTTTAAAATAAATGTACAGTTATATGTTCGACCGCAAAAGTGTTTCGGCACCTTCGAAAACATACGGTAAACTAAGAGAACCACAATAAATGTCCTTTCAGTTTTTTTATTCCCCATAACTGAATATTAAATAATGGTTCCTTGTATACAATTACTTTACACTTTATAACTGGAATTACATATAATTTATTTGATGAATTCAAATACATGGGTACCAATGTAAAAAAAAAAGTTTGTCTGGTTGTTGTTTACTTCAAAACTTTACCATTTATAATGAAAAACCATTAGCGAAAAAACACTAGTGGTATTTTCACAGCGATCCTATTTTCCAAATAGATTCCCTAAGATGTGCACGGAACAGAAAAAAGCGAAATCAGTAGAAAAACTTTCGGTGTTCCAGTAAAAGGTGGCAGTTGTCCGAAAGTAAAGTTGGAAGGAATTATTTGTGTTATTGCTCTTCAGCAATCGTAACAATATTTTTAAACGCAGTTTTATTCATTATGCGTACCGATCTTTCGATCACATCGCCATTCAAGTTCACAAGTCTATTCATTAAAAAAATATCGGATTTTATTTGTAAATAGAAGTGCAAGAGGTGTGCTGTTATGAATGAAATTTAATTCTCTCGCATGTATCGAATTTACGCCACAGAATAGAGAAAGTGTAAACTATGTTTCGCGCATAAAAGCTTCGGCTTAAATATTTTAAAAGCGCTATACGCGTCGATGTATTTGAATAAATATTAAAACATCTAAACGCTTTAGATAGAATGCTTTGAAATACATACAAACGGATGTAATAAAAGTAAACAAGATATTCTCGCCCGCCAAACGGGAAAGCTCAGTTTGTAAGCTCTCTGTCCTTTGTTTCTGTCCTAATTGGTGACAATTTATCGTCTTTAATGTACCAAAACTGCCATGAACTTTTAATAGCAATCGTCGGACAAAGTAATAGGCAGATTCTTTTTACTTTCCGGTTTTAATTCCGTTACATTTGTTTCAACGATAAAAAGCTTGTTATGTTTCATAAAAAATTAAGATTCATGACGGGTCATTTAAGCATAACTCTCCAGCGAGCAATTAATGAAACGATCAAGATTTGTCGAGTGTAAAATAATAAGAGGCGCCGCGTAATCTCTGAATCGGATCGTAGTAAAGGTTTATTATCGTTTCTAAAGCGTCCGGCGCACACGTGAAGGCTTTAATCGAGTATGGGTTAAAGCGGGCGCTGGAGGCTGAATGGGTGCGGGGCGTCGGCGGCCCGCCTGCT